AATGATGTTTGTGAAAGTTAATTAGGTCAATGTCGAAAATATATTTAAAAGTAAAGCGGATGTTGAAATAATAAAAAAAAACTATTGCACGATCTGTAGAGTATTTTAATATTTTTGAATATATCAACTACATAAAACCCAAGTCATGTTTGAAACATAAATAAAAGGTCTGGCCAAAAATAGAATATAAAATTACCCGAGTACAATTGTGGACAGGAGATAATACAGATAATACAGCTGCCAAACCTAATTTTAGGCGCCAGTTTTGAATTCAAAAAAGAAAGCAAGAAATTATGATGAAATATCCTTAAAATATTACAACACAAAAAATCAAACAATTCTTAATGAGATGATGATGAATTATGTCTCGAATTAATCCTAATCTGACAGATCTTCTAATCTACGATAGACGTCGTCAAACTTTCTTTCACATTAAACATTTAACAAATTAAAAACATTTCAGCTGACACAGCATTTTTTTTTTTTGTCTAAACAAATTTTTTAAAATTTGTCACTTTTGAACCTTTTTACGAATCCGGACAAATCCGCATCGAATGTTATTTTCGCCCACGCTTCATTTTTATATGAATGAATTTCTGTGCTCACATCAGTCCCCAAAATGAGATTAGGCTATATGCGGGCGTATCTCATCAGTTGGGCGATAAGCGATTTTCGAGACACAGGACGGAGGGAGACCCTTATGACATGCAAACAAAACATTAAATACCAAAACATATCAGCGCTAATTGACACTTATTAAAAAATATCGCCGCGACGGGACACAGACTTTGGCATCTCTCTCCTTCTCATGGCGGAACAACAATAGCTCGCACACGTGCTGCTTTTGCCGGGCCAATTATCAGCAACAATCACAATCACGAGACTTTCGACATGCAGCTTGCACTGCTCACAATTAAGTCATTTGTGCAGGCAATAATTGATGCATGACTCGAAATAAAAAAAAAATATGCAATACATACTATGGATTCGTCAATATGAATGATTATAAAGCTATGTTGTTGTTGCATTGCCGTTCAACAAATTTAAACGCCGCTGCCAATTGGCGCCATCCTAGCAAGCATTAGCCAACACTGCTTGCACCTGCGAGAAGTCCGATACTTTTAAGCGATGACAATAAAGCTCAGAGTCACGGCGACGACTGTTATTTTGGCATACGAATTACCAGCCTGTATTTTTTTTTATGCTAAGAAATGTTTGTTGGTTATTAAATAGAAAATTATTTGCTTGCATTTTCAATTAATTTCGCTGCTATTCATTTTAAATGTCGTTTTAAATGTGTTGAAAGCGGAGTATCTCGAAGAGTAACTGAAACATAACTGTTATCGGTAGCCGGTGCATCAATTATCGCACACACGGGTCCATTATCGGCTGTTCAGCTGTGGCACTAAAAAAAGGGGGGGAGAAAAATTAAAAATAAGAAAATCATCATGGCTACATCGACGTTGCAGCTGGAATTTTCACAGGCCATGGCCGATTTCAAGAAGATGTTCCCGGACATTGATCGCGAGGTGATTGAGGCTGTGCTGCGCGCTAATCTGGGTGCTGTGGATCAAACCATCGACCAACTGCTTGCTATGTCAACTGACAACCAGGTACATATGTGTGTGTGTGTGTGAGTGTGCACCCTGTGTGTATGTGTGCGTGTATGTGTTTGTTTGTGTATACTAACAGCCCAAAAACAGCCTACTAACTAACACTAACCGCATGTGTGATTAGAACGAAAAACTGCGCAATGAACTGGATGCTAATGTCTCACCACAACAGAGTCTCATCAATCTCAGCGATTCGGACAGAGAGCTGCGACGCAATCAGCAGCTCATCGATGCCACAGACGGCGGCACGGAGAGCGGTGCCGCGGCAACAGCTGCTGCTGCTGCTGCCGGCAACACATTGCTAAGCACTGCGACCGCTTCTCCAAATCATCACAATACGGGCGCCTCGCCCAAGCAACGTCCGTTGGGCGCCTCGAACAGGGGCAGCGCCAGCAACACGCCCACCAAGCGCACGCACACCGTTGCATTGTCGAGCAACAGCAGCAGCAGCAACGCCTCTCGACGCTGGAATCCACCAATATTGGGCGTGCTGCCACCGGGATTTTTGCGCGTGGCGCCAGCACCTGGCCAGCAGGACTTTGAGCTGCCCGACGAGCAGTTTGCGCTGATGTTGCAAAACGAGGAGTTTATGAATCAGTTGCGATGGAATCAGGACTTCATGAATGCGCTGGAGAAGGAGCAGAGCGGCAAGGCCAAGGGCGAAGATGATGCACCATTCCAAGAGCGGCTCAAGAATATGGGCAAGCTGTCGCGCAAGAAATTCCTACAAATGGCGCGCGTCTTCACCTGGCAGCGCAACAAGAAGGTGACCACCGCCAAACAGATCGATTCGCTGCCCTTGCGCGAGGAGCCCAGCGACGATGAGGATCATCACCCTCATCATCATCATCAACAGCAGCAGCAGCAGCAGCAACAGCAGACCCAGCACCAGCAGCAACAGTCGACACAACAACAACAGAGCCAGGTGCAGCAACAGCAGCAGGGTCAATTGCAGCTGCGCAAGTAAAGGCCAGATCTGGAAACCAGATACTTAGACACTAGATTATCCATTGTTTGTTATCTTATCCTTATTCTTATCGTATATTATCTCATCTGGCCATAAGCGTACGTCAAGGCCATGTGTTTACCTTCAGGCATAAGTCCAAGCCCGACTAAGCCCCTAATCTAAACCCGTTTCACGTAGTAATCTCAAATGGAAATCTATCGAAATCTGAAATCTCGCAACAGACGATGCATGTATTATGTATATTTCTAGTTTTAAATGTCGTGTAATAACCAAAAGTGCAATTTTCCAATCCCAAGACACAAAACACAACACACAAACAAACCCCAGTGCAATATCTCATGTGTATATTTGTTTTTGACTATTATAAATTTATACTATTATACTTGTTTATAGATGTTTATTATTTTAATTTTTTGTTTCATTTTTTTCGTTGTTGCCAAATTAGCGTTAATTAAGTTTTATTGATAATTTGTAAAATGGCAGTTCTTATGGAGAACATTTTATAGTTGGACTGATTCGAAATGCGTTAATTAGTAATTGAAGAGCATCGCAGAAAATATATAATATGTACATCTAGAGCACTTGCTAAACTCAAAACTAGTCATAAACACAAGCGAAAAAAAAATGAAAACGAAACTCAATTTATGTACAGCAAAAATATGTATTATTGCTATCCAAAAAAAAAAAAAAAAAAAAACCTCCCAACTTTCCCCCACCCGCTCAGAGTTTTTAAAAGTACGCATAATAATCGCCTGCGCTTAGTTGGCTTCTATTGTCATGCTCCATTGAGACAGCAACAAGAAATAAATGTCCATATCAAACTGTTGATATTACAGATACAGCATAATATATATACATACATATATATGGACATATACCATCCATAGTTTTGGTGGCTATGCAAACATATGCAACTATTTGATTGTAATTGTAATTGTACTTGTACTTGTATTATAAACCATATTTGAAATACTATTATATTCATATTCCAAGTATAAAATACAGCAAAAATATTTGAAAATTCCACGCACGTATTCGTATTATTTCTGGTGGGCCAATCAAAGTGTTGTCCAAAACTCAAGCCAGTAAAACGTTAGCGAATGCGCAGCACAAAGCAAAATGGAAATATAATTTTAAGAATACAAGAAAACTTCTCATTTCTTACATGAATTTATTTAATTTTTATTTTGTTTTTGTTTTTAAATTTTTTTGTTTTGTTTTTTTTTCTTTTTATTATTATTTTTTATAAACATAATACATTTATTATGGTTACACGTTGGATTCTCTTATGTGTGTGTGTGTCTGTGTGTGTTTATATGTTCTCTTTTGACTTTGATTTAAGGGCATATTGGTTACTTGTTACCTGTTACGGCTATTATAAATCGTGTATATTTAAATTTCTTGTTGTTATATAAATTTATTTCGTTTTTGGATTGACACAGACGAATCTCATGTTTTGGTTGGGATTTGTTGTAATCGTTAAATATAACAGGATTTGAAATTGTTGCGCAAATCGAAAACTTTGCAACTTTGCATTTAACACTACTGAATGATTTCTTTATTGTTTATTGTTTAATTTTAAATGTTGCATGCTCTCAGAGCAAGCCGGAGTGTCATGTGTGTGAGTGTATGGATGTATGGGTGTGTGCGTATATATATGTATGTGTGCAATTGTTTGTTTTTTAATTATGTACTCGCATTTTGTTTGTTTGTTAATGTTACTTACACAGAAATTGATCATTTTTAAACAATTATTTGTAAATTTGTTTTAAACTAATTACTAAAAATGGATTTTCTGTTTGTTTGCAACATTTTGACATCTCATCTTGCATACAATATTTTTATAAAATATGTGATTTTTTTTTTTGTTTTGTTTTTGTTTCTTGTTTTTTTTTTTTTTCTTGGTTTCTATCAAGTGATTTGTTATAGGCATACAATTGAATTTAGATTTAGGTTTAGCTTAATTTGATTTTCATTTTAAACTTCTTATTGTTTTTTGAAGAGCAACGACATTTGTTTATTATTTATGGATCTTCTATGTATATATGTATACGATAAATTTCTTGTATATATTTATTGTGTTTATGTTATGTGTGTATAAATCGAAAGGGAATTCAATTATCAAATAAAAACAAAAGAAATACGAATGTTTTAGTTACGAATGTTTGCTTTTCTTTTGCTTTGAATTTTTGTTGCATAATTTAAAAAAATATTTAAAAAAAAAAAAAACGAACGACAAATATAATTTCTTGTTTACAATAATTAATTGTTAATCAGCAAAAATTGCATAGTAATAATAATAATAGTAGTAGTAGTAATAGTATGTAGTAATAATTACAAAGAACTTTGCACAGTTAAAAACATTGTCAGTTAAATGTGTTTTTATATTATTTTTTTTTAATTATTATTTTTTTTGTATGTTTTTTTTTTTTTGTATATATTGTAGCTTGGTTATTGCAATTTTGACAATCTTAACTTTTCGGGGTTTTGTATGCTTTCCTTCGATTTTTTGTTTATGTTGGTTTTTTTTTAATGATTTTTTTTTTTTTTTTGGAAGTCTTATAGCAGAACACATAGGGACTTTTTCGGTTTCTTTTGTTTCTTTTCGGGTGACTTCTTGTTGATCTGCCGTACCAAATCGTAGAAAATATCATTCACATTCACTTTGGCTTTGGCTGAGGTCTCCATGAACGCGCAATTGAATTGATTGGCCAAACTCTTGCCCAGATCCTTGCCAACGACGCGCTCCTCCTCCAGATCGCATTTATTGCCAACCAGCACCATGGGCACATCGTCCGTATCCTTGACGCGCAATATTTGCTCTCGCAGATCCTGCAGATCATTGAACGTGGATTGCGCCGTTATCGAATAGACAAGCACAAAGCCTTGGCCATTCTTCATATAGAGATCCCGCATGGCTGTAAACTGTTCCGTGCCGGCGGTATCCAATATTTCCAGCATACACTGCTGACCGTCTACCTCCACCTGTTTGCGATAGCTGTCCTCAATGGTGGGATCATATTTTTCCACGAAAATGCATTGCACAAATTGTACAGTTAGAGCGGATTTGCCGACGCCGCCGCTGCCCAAAACAACAATTTTGTATTCACGCATCTTATATATATATATATATATATATGTGTGTGTGTGTGTGTGTGTCGAACTATTTATATATGTGTATGCTGGTGTGCGGGCGTGGAAGGGGGGCTTATTTAAAACCAGGCGCTGTTAGTTACTGGCGTAGGCGGGGGGACGAGGTGGTTCAGTTGTTGCTGCTGCTGCTCTTGTTATTGTTGTTGTTGCAAATGTTTATTTAAAACGCGATGCTCTCTCTCTCTCTCTCTCTTGCGCTCTCACACTGGCGCTCTCTTAACAGCAGCAGAAAAAAAAAATCACTAGTTTTAGGCGTTGTTCGGCGATTGCTTTTGGGTTGCAGTTGCAGTTCTTGCAGAAAGCTTTTGTTGTTGTTCTTTGTTATTGCTGATAACCTTTGTGCCAACAAACAACTCGTATCTGCGTGTGTGTGTCTGTTTGTGGTCTTTCTCTCTCTCTCTCTCTTGCTCTCTCCCTGCGTCGGACTCCGCTCAGGTAGCAAAGGTGCGAGCGTGCGTTTCGTTTTTTGGTTGTCGTCAAATTGTTGCTTTTGAGCGGTGCTGGGGGAGCAGCGACAATATATACATAAATATATATATATATACAATTACTGTAGCACTAGCCTCTGCCGCCTCTGCCCGCGACGTTAACTACGACAACAACTTCCGTTTTACAGCACCAATTGCTATATCTGCGCTTGCCGTTGCCGTTGCTGTTGCTGTGCAACAATGTTTGCTGAGTACTCAGTGTGCACTGTGGAATGTAAGAAAGCAATAGTTTGTATTTTTAAATATAGGTATCACTGTAAATTCGATTTTGGTTTTGTGGTCTTTTTTTTTTTAATTTTTATTTTAGTTTTGGTATGCTGGTGCCTGAGCTGGCACTGCTAGTAGGAATTTACTGCACTCTTTATTTCGTTTTTTTTTTTTTTTTAATTTTATTTTTTTCTTTTTTTTTTTTGTAATGAACTCAAAATGTTCTCCTCGCTCACTCAGCACAATTGCGCTCTACCCTCAACATTTTTATGATTCATTTTTAGAGTTGTCGAGTAGCGGCGAGATGGCACTGTTGAGCGCCCAACAAACAATGCACACACTTGTAGCATGCAAATCAAATTTGTTCTTTGTTCAATGAAAAACACTTATAATTGCAGCAGTGGCTGACAAATGCGCACATAATGTGCTGAATATACTTTATCGTATTTGAACACACAAAAACTTTATTATGGGGCAGGGGGTTGGGGCCAGCAGCAGCACCCGCATGTCACGCACACGGCAACTCTATTCGGAGTTTTACCTTGTTTGCTGCGCACAAAAAACTGTTGTTGCTGTCTGTGCAAATTTCACACACGCTTTTGCGATCTAGTGTCCGTTTATGTATATATGCGTGTACAAGATAATGTGACACAACTCGCGAAATGTGCAATTTTTTTTTATTGATAACGAGATATTTAATTCTAAGGCAAACAGATAACTATTTTTCGGCTTAGGCGCTTGTGCTATCTAGCTCGCTCACACGCTGATTCATTTTCAGTGCTGCCACACCTAGCGCTGTATCATTCGTGGCGATAGCTCGATAGCACGGCCCGCAAGTGGCAACATCAATCGATAAATGTTCCCAAGACTGGCAACATTAACGAATTTTAATACCATTTAATGTTTATACGATTTTTAAAAACTTATATCGCACAGTTTACGACGTGGAAAACAATAAATAACTTAGTTTATTTTTGTTGTAGAAGCAGCCAAAGGGAATGCAAATTTTCCAAATAATAAAGATAATTTGGGCTTATCAGCCAGTGGCGCTTTATCAAACTAGCTTTTATTTACAAAAAACAAAATTAAAAAACTAACTAAAATTTCGTAAAAAATAAGATTATTAGCGCGAACTCTTAGCGGATTTTAGTGACCATGCCGGCGGCAATCGTAACGCCTGCCACACGCAGCATAATGCGTCCCAGCTCCTTGAAATCCGAGTAGCGTTCAATGCAAATCGGACGCGAGGTCTCCACCTCGACCAGGGCGCACGAGTTTTGGCCCAGACAACGCGGCTTCTTCTTGACCACTTCGCCGGTGCTTTTGTGTATAGATGCGGTCAGCTTACAGACAACGGCCGGCTCGATGAGCGACTGATGATGCAGCAGCACCGGATAGCCCATCGTAATGGGCACCTTTACATTGAAGACAATGATCCGACACTGGAAGCGTGTTGTCACTGGGATTGGCATCTGGGGATCACATATGATGCAGCCCACCGTTATGTTGTTGACATCGATGCCGGCCAGTGTCACAGAGACCTGGTCGCCGGCAAATACGCTCGTCTGCGTCAGCTCGTCCATGCTGAGCGATTTGACCTGCGCCTGTTCCCGACTAGCGCCCACCAGCACCTTGTCGTTGACACAAAGGGCACCCGTCTCGATGCGACCCGAAATGCAGAAGCCTGAGCCGGTGCCCTTGTATATGTCCGAGACGGACATGCGCAGCGGCCGGTCAATGGCACGTTCGGGTACCTTGAAATGTTCGATGACTTCCAGAAGATTTGGTCCCTCATACCAGGCTTTCAGGGCGGGCTCCTGGGCGGCTTTCGTGAGATTCTCGCCCGTTAGGCCCGAGCAGGGCGTGAAACTGACATCCGATTCCTTGAAACCAGCCTGTTTTAGAAACGATTTAAGTTTGTGCACAATCTCCTGAAAGCGCTCCTTGGACCAGCCCACCGTGTCCAGCTTGTTAATGACCACGCCCAGCTGATTGACGCCCAGCGAGCGCACGAGTATCGCATGCTCGCGTGTCTGTCCGCCCAGCTCAAAGCCGGACTCAAACTCGCCACGCGTCGCATCCACGACAAGCAGCGCCACGTCCGCTTGCGTTGCGCCCGATATCATGTTAGGTATGAAGTCCTTGTGGCCGGGCGCATCCAGGAGCGTGACTATCTTGGTTTTGGTCTCGATGCGCGACTGGCCCACATCCATGGTGATGCCACGGGCGCGCTCCTCGCCAGTCTCGTCCAGCACCCAGGCGTACATGAAGCTCTGTTTGCCTAGCTTCTTGGACTCCTGCTCGTGCTTGTGCATCACCCGCTGCGAAACGTTGCCCGTGTCGTAGAGCAGATGGCCCATTAGTGTGCTCTTGCCGGCATCTACGTGCCCAATGACAATCATGTGTATGTGGCTCTTTTGCGTCGCGCGCTCCTGCTCGTACAGCTGCTGGGCGTTGCGTTGTGCCTGATCCTTGGACACTTTGAATATTGTTGTAGAGCCGCGTCCCGCTTCGTCGCCGCCTTCGACGGGCGTATTGCGGCCGGACACATTTGGCGAGGAGGGCGCTTTGGGCGAGGCAATGTCGAAGCCACGTCGTGCATCCTTTACGGCGGACAACGTTATTTTAGTAGGCGTCGGCTTGGGCGTTGTGCTAGACTTTGTTGCTGGCGTTGTTGCGTTTAGTTTCAGCTTTTGTGGACGTTTCTCCTTCTCCTTTTTGTTCGTCTCCTCGTTGAGTATATCGTCGAGAATCTTTTGTATGTCGTAGTCGAAACGCATGGATGTCTCCACGATGCGACGCTCGGAGACTGCATCGCCCACCACGCTGCGCACCTCATCCACGCAGGAGCTGAGCTTGGCCTGCGCAATATCGTCCAGTTCCGGCATCTGGAAATTCTCCGAATCTCTGCGAGCCTTTTGGTATGCCTCGTCATCATCGTCCTCATCATCATCCTCCGCCTCCTCCTCGATGTTCTTGTTTTTCTTTATAAACGCCGACATACTCTGTTGACCGCGAGCCCGGTCGTATAGCCATTGCTGATCCGTAGGCGAGACGCAATCATCATCAACGGAATGGCCATAAACATCGTCGTAGCCATCGTATTCGTCGTTGTAATCCATTCCGCGTACTATCCTGTGACGCGACATCTTGTGGTTTATTTAATCTCTTTGTATTTTTTCAGTCAATTTTCACAATTATTAAACATAAGAAAAATATAATTTCGTCGAATTGCAGACAACTGAAAGCACTAGAACGAGTAGTTGCCAGATAATTGTGGCTGGCTATCTGGCAGCACAGTTAATGCTGATGTGCGTGACACACTCAATAGTTGCACAATTAGAGATGGGTAAAACACTGCTAAAACAATACAACAAATTAAGTATTAAAAACCAGTGTTTAGATTATAACTACCAATAAAGTATATGAGAGTGTTAATTATTTATGGTCAGCTTATATGTTAAACAACATACGATTAATATTGAATTCATCGTGCTCCGTGCTTTTTTGCGTGCCTGCGCGTAACGATAGTTTCTTTATGTGCCTTTTGCGCATCACTAGACTACCCACTCTTCTCCTCCCTGAACATTATCTTTTGTGTCGCGTAAAATATTAAGGAAAACACTGTGAAAATCTTTACGAAGCAACCAAAAATAAAAACAGCTTAATAACATACGTTTCAAGGTGGCGCAAAATGCAGGCGACGCAGCACTAAGCGCTCGCTTTTCGAGTCCTCAATTATTGTGAACTAAGCGTATGCAACCTACTTATATTTATTAACAACAACAACAACAGAACAGCAGCAGCAACAACAACAACAAACAGTATGTACAACAACGTTGCACGGGGCTTCTCCATACACGACGCATTCGAGGAGGAGGAAGAGGAGGCGATACGTGTCTATGGCTCCACAGTGATATCGACGCCAATGCGCGGTGGCGTAAGCGGCAGCGCCAAACAAGGTCGCTCCACCGAAGATGTATCCATACGCATACAGGATCCAAAGTAAGTGCCACAAACAAATTAAATAAACGAGTTACCCCGCGACGACAACTGCCCGGCCATTTGCTACACGTACTGGTACTGGTACTGGTTCTAGTGTCTGGGTCTGCGCGTGGGCAGCAGCTGTTTGACTGTTGTTGACACCATTTTGGAGCTGTGATTCAGAACAAGGAAGCGGGCGAGGTGCTTCGTTTGCAGCAGCCATAAATACGGCCTGTTATTATCAGTGTTGGCAAGTGTCACATAAAGAAGTAGCTAAATTCAGTGCTAAAAATATCTATAAAAAAGCTGAATTAGCTTGAGAAGCCAAAACAAAGCTAAATATGTTTAAATTTGTTATCTTATATTATCGGCCGAATTTTGAAAACAGCCGAATCTGACCGGAAAATAGCTAAAACTGGCAGCACTGTTTATTATTGTTTTATTTTTTATGTTGCCAACCAAAATTTTTGAACCAGTTTTTTTTTGGTCTTGAATAGGGCCTACAGCCCGTTTCGGCATACAGTGAAAGCTCCCTGGAACAGACCTGTCAATATATTTTTTATTACAAAGAACATGCCCTGTTCAAGAATGCTTTCATGTAACTCAATGGTCAACCGGCTTAAACCAGCTGGTTTGGTTCGTTTCCCCGACCAAATTTCATCATATGCTGACTCAGAATCAGAATGAAAACCTTACTTTAACTAAAACCGGCTTAATATAAACATGCAATCATCATATAACAATTGCAAATGCAATGCGATGCGCCACTTGTGCCCGCTGCGAGGTATGCCAGCTGCTTGGCCAGGTCTATAAAGCTCTACCTTTACCTTTTGTGGATGCCGCGTGTAACTTTCCGCTTCCTTGCCGGAAACGCTAGACGCAGATTTCCATAAATTTCATCGTGTGTGTGCGTGTATCAGTTTATATAGTAGATGCCAAAAACGCGTGCGTGCTTCATTCATTCATATAATATTTACAATTTGTTGGCGCTCTTCTCTATTTACCATTCCATTGGATGCCATTATGCATGCATGTCTCGCCTCAAGGCACAACGGCAACAACTACGTAATTATGGCGATTTGAGCAGACATCGTCGTCGTCGTCGCCGTCGGAATCTGTCTGTCCAGCGCCTCGGACATGCATCCAGCCCAATTTGGCATTCAATTGTATAAATCACTGCGCATAAATTTCGTCATTCCTTGAAGAATTTTTTGCATATTTTTTTTTTGCACGACATCCAACACCGAGTTACACGTTTGGCCTTCGGTTGCGGCCGCAGCGGGCTGCACTTGTGCGGCTTCATTGTAATTGAGTAATAAACACATACAGGTACAGTGAATGCTCCATTGCATGAACCACCAAGGTTGCCGTTTCTCTTATCCTTACAAGATGGTCGTCAAAAAAATAACTAAAATAACACAAGAACAAAAATGCTTATCAAGTACTTGGTAATGAAACAACATGCCGAAGATTAAATGCCCTTGTCGAAATAAGGCTTAGAAGTTCTTTAATAGAGGTCTTTTTTGATAAGAATATGTAGATATGTTTGGAGAACAGTAAATACATATGATATAAGATAGTTATCCAATGTTGGAATAATTAATGAGACTCGTAAATCTTATCATTGATCATTTTCAATGGCAAAGAGCTTCCGCTTTATAAAGTAAATACTGTAAAAAGACAAAGAAAAAAGTACACACTGTAAAAAGAACAAAGAGCGTCTGTTTTATAAAGTACTTACTGTTAAACGTCCGCTTAACAAAGTACACACTGTTAAACTAGCAAAGAACGTCCGTTTAACAAAGTACACACTGTTAAAATAAATGATGGAAATGTAAAAACTCTGCTGAAACGTTCGTTACAGGCAGCTTTCACTGTACTCTTAGGTGCAATGTCTCTCACTTTGTTCGCCTAACTGATAAGCAAATTGAATTTAATTCAATTGCGACTAATTTATTTTGCTTAATCTATTCAACAGGGGCTACAACAAATACGCCGAAGACACAACGTCGCGGGACAGCGACTCCCTGATACAGGAATATGGCAATCTGCCCACGGAGGAGACGAACACATATTGCTGGCGGCATCCAAAGGTGCGCGAAAATTGGCGCACAGTTCTGGCCGCGTTCACGCTCCTCGTGGTGGGCACCGGGCTATTTGTGATGGGCACCTTTGCCATTGCCGATCCACACAATACATCACAGGGTGTTGTATTTTTTGTTGCTGGACTCATTTGCTTTATACCGGGCGCCTATCATGTCGTCTATATATGGCTGGCGGCCAAAGGCTATCGAGGGTTTGACTTTTACCATTTACCTTTGTTTACATAAGCACACACACATATATATATATATATATATATATATATTTATATATAATGTAAATGTATGTCGCATTGGTTGATCCAATTTGTATCAGCAAAACGCCCCTGGTCCCCTTACCCTCTGTCTATATACATATATTTATATATACAATTATTATCTATATATGGTAATTAACTCAGAAGTCTTGTGTTTTATGTGTGTCTTCAACGAATTTCAATGGACAAAACTCAAAAAGGAAAAATGATAAAAAGAAGTAAAACCTAGACAAAAACTCCAATTCGAATCCTAGCCTTAATGTATGTATTTTTTTAAAATTAATCTTTTATTATAATATACTCAAAAACGTTTGGTATACCCTCAAAGGCAGTGTTGCCAATTTAGCTATTTTCCAGCTGAATTAGCTTATTTTCGTAAGTCATCAGCCCTAAACAGCTGAAGCTTCAAACTGATTTAGCTATTTTTCGGCCACTCAAGGACAAGAGCTAGCCAATATTTACTCGAAAAGCTAATTTAGCCATTTTTGAGCTATTTCAACACTGGTTTCAGCTACTTTATTCAATAAACATTTGGCAACACTGCTCAAAAATGCAAAGGATACGTATGACAACACTCTTACACACACATTCGAAATTTATTAAAAAAAAAAAAACAACAACAAAAACGAAAGACTTTGTATATGATGCTAAATGTTGAGCGCGCGTTAGTGTTAAAAACATAACAAAAAACTAAAAATGTAATTTATTGAAATTTAATTGCACCAAAAAGCAAAAATGCTAACGAAATGTTTTACGATTTTCGAACACGAATCTATATATAAATAAATTTATATGTATATGATTAGTAAGCGTCTGTCCGGGACGCAACTTACCTAGTTTATATATACATACAGTATGTCAATAAAGTGTTTTGACTAACGAAAAAAAACTAATTTTTTGGGTTTAGTTGAAAATAAATGTACCTAAAAGTGAGAATTTTTTTTCAATTCTAATTTATTTCGATTCTATATTTTTCCTAGAACTTAATGGCAAAAAGAATTGTTAAATAACATTACCCAAACATTTTATAAAATTAAAAAACTAAAAACATTCAAATTTTATGCTGTCAATAAAGTGTTTTTACACGAAACTTTATTACTAAATAACAATGTTAAAAAAACAGGAATATTTTTTTTTAATACTTTGTGTGGCTGCCATTAGCGTCACATACAGCCTGCAATCGCCGTTTCATTGAAACAATAAGGTTTTGTATGTATGTTTCTGGAATCTTCTGCCATTCTTCCAGTACAGCAGCTTTTAAATCAGTTTTTGATTTTGGACTCCGCTTTGCGACTTTTTTTTTCAAATATGACCACACATTTTCTATTGGATTCATATCTGGACTTTGTGGTGGAGTGTCTAACACCTTTCCACAGTTGTACAACAGCCAAACTCTTACCATATGAGCTTTATGCTTCGGGTCATTGTCCTGGTAAAATTTAAAAATTGGCTTATTGTCCTCATAGAATCCAAATTTCTGTGCACTACTGACGAGATGTGTCTGTAAAATGCTCAGATATTGTCTAGCATCCATGGTATTCTCAATGAAGGTCAAATCTCCTACACCCTTGCTCGAAATACACCCCCACACCATCACTGATAGTTTTCCGAATTTAACGGTTGGAATAATATTGCGGTTTTCCAACGCTGTTAGTGGCTTTCTCCAGACTCTGGATGGCCCATCGTTGTAGAATAGCATCATCTTGCTTTCGTCACAGAATATGACGTTACTCCAAAAATCGTTCGAACTATTTACATGGACTTGAGCGAACGATAGCCGCTTCAAAATATTCGCCGCCGATAGTAGAGGTTTTTTCCTGGCAACTCGTGATGTGTAGTCATTGGAATTCAGTAATTTTCGGACAGTTTCATGTGACACATCAACACCACTTTCTTCCTTGAACTCCTGAGCAATATCCCTAAGCGAAATTTGTGGATTTTTCTCAATTTTTCTCAGAATTTTTCGCTTATCTCTGTCAGAAATTTTGCAGGGTCGACCACATACTGGCTTTGCCTCTAGCCTATCTTCCTTATTGGCTCTGTTTAATATGTTGTATATCGTTGCTTTTGATAAATTAAACATATCAGCCAGTTCCGAGACTTGACGTCCCATCTGATGGTTATAATACACCAGCTGAGCGACTTCAAAAGTTGTTCTTTTTCCTGGCATTTTATTTTTCATAAAATTAAAGCAAAACGTTATAAATTGCAATAGAAAATGACAAGAAAAGTCGAAGACACAAGAGAAGCCAAAACGCATGGGCCCAAATCTAACGGGATCACCCAAAAGAGAACGGCAAAACAATTTACCGTAGCTGTAAAAACACTTTATTGACAGCATAAAATGTGAATGTTTTTAGTTTTTTAATTTTATAAAATGTTTGGGTAATGTTATTTAACAATTCTTTTTGCCATTAAGTTCTAGGAGAAATATAGAATCGAAATAAATTATAATTGAAAAAAAATTCTCACTTTTAGGTACATTTATTTTCAACTAAACCCAAAAAATTAGTTTTTTTTTGTTAGTAAAAACACTTTATTGACATACTGTATATAGTACAGTAAATATTATTATTTAACAAACTGTCATGAGAAATCTTACGAAAAAAAAAAATAAAACCAAAAGAAATCGATTAGTGATATAAGTAAAAAAAAAAAGCGCTGATATTGCAATATGTACGTTTTATATAGCTATAAAATTAATGCCCTAATATTTTCTAACCCTAACCAATTCTAACCGTCCTCTAATGAAATTACACACACACACACACACACACATACACATCCAACAGACAGCTCTTCGGACATCTCACATAAATAGCAAAAGCAATTTTTGAATATCTTTTTTTGAATTCCACATTTTAGTTTTTAATGCTCTATTTTTTTTTAAGAATGCTGAATAAGGTTGTAAAGTTCTTTTAAAAAAAACTAAAACTAAATAAACAAATTCGATGTGGTTAAATTCAGTACTTAGGCACATTTGTAATGCAACAACTTTTGCATTATACTCAAAATTTTGTATACTAAATTTTAAGCGAGCTTTTGCTTTCGACTTTTGTATTTACTTTCATTTATTGTTGGTTTATTTTTTTAATGCAAATTATATCATTTTTTGAGATTTTATAAATTGTGATTTTGTTTTATTTTTGGCTAACAAAGCAATTTATTTAGATTTTATTTGTGCGTAAACGTCAACTGCGTCAACCGCACACTTTATTTATTTTAGGAAAAAGGCACGACGTGGAGAATATGGAAGTAAACCTAATTGGATTACTTTAAATTGAATATCGCTCAAAATTGTATGCCAAAAACATATAGCAGGAAATTAATTGGATTAAAGAAAATGCTCAGCAATGTGCTAAATTTGGAATCTAGGGATAGAACCGCCGTTAAAAGAATCTTTAAAGAACTCTAACCCAAGTTAAATAAATAATTTGATAATTTTCATTATAATTAACTAGTATTATGGGCCAATCACGAAGATCGAACCCCTTAAAGACAAATTCAAAGGACCCCAAAATTTTCGTTTAATATAATATTTTACGATCTTGATTTTAACTATTTAGCATAGCAGGCTACCGTGAAGACAAATTTAAACATGAACTTTATCCATTTTCAATATGTTTTTATGATTTTCATTTGAATTATTTATCATGGTAGGCTAAAAGTCATCCCTTAAGGATCGAAGCCCTTGAAGACAAACTTAAGAGGTTTCCAAGCCGAGTCTATGATTCCGATCATGATCTAGCTACAATTTAATAGCTGCTATATATTTCATATAGATACCTTTTGATTTAATTTAACTTTTTAGCTTGCATAATTTAGTTAACTACATGTGATAATACGTAAGCTTTTTATGTCCGTATTTTTTCGCACACGCCGCAGATAACTTAATTGCAAAAGAAATATTTTATCTAACTAATCGCTTTTTTATCATTTGCTGTACATATCTGTTTAGTTAATTAAAGAAAGTTGATACAAACAAGACAAAAAACAAACGATAAGTATTTTCTGAAATTCCCCAAAATATTCCCCACTCCCCCCTCCATTAATCATAGCGCTATCGCATGGATCGTACAACTAGGCACCGTGTGGGTTGGGTTGTTTCTAGATTTAGTTACTTATATTAAATATGATTGGCAAGGATAATGACAAATCAAAGGCATTGACTCGTACGTTGCTCAATACACTGAAAGAATTGATGGAAAGGCTCTATATATAGTTATGTATATGGTACATATATGATGTGTACTTATATTATACTGCTATTGTGTATTTTTGTAGTTTATGTTTTGTATTAAACGTAGCTCGACTTTGACTTTGACTTCGATGATTAACGATTAAGCTTTAAATGTGGTTAGTCAAGTAAGCCCAATAAAAATAAAGTACATAAAACTACCAGAGAAAAGCAACTATTATTATTATACCCTGTCATTGAGTGTGCTTAGCAAAGGGGCCTATTGCAATGATGGTGATGTATGTAACAGGCAAGAGAAGGCAGCGTAAGTATATGAACTCTTGATCAGAATCGGCAGCCAAATAGATTTGCAGATTTCGGTCTCTGTGCAGATTCCAGGGTATTTGAGAGCTTGATCTAGTTTCGAGAACTAGAAATCGATCAATATCAATTGAGAAAATAATTTGAAGATTATAAGAGCTACAATCTTTTAATTTGCTATATGAAAACTAATGTTACAGGGTATCTACCCGTCGCAACGCAGAGCACTCTTGTTGTTGTCTTGCGGGTAAAACAAATTGTCACCAGGCATCGACCAAACAGCGCCAAGCGCCGGCACACAAACCAGGCCTGGTCGGGGCCTGGCAACGGCGCCAACAAAACAGAGACAGGATAGGCATAAAACCATAACCGCAACAGGAGGTGGCTGGGCATATTCCCCAAGTTCATTAGATTCTTCGATGGGCCCCTCGTCACAGTTCCTGCTGCTGTCAATGGGTTCCTGAATGTTGGTGGCGAGTTTCAAGCACGTTCAATGGCACGAAATGGAAAGTTATGCCGCCTAACGCACATAAATCCAGTCTAAAAATAATCAACGCAAAATACGCAGCAGAGATGTATGAGCCGGAGGCGGAGTCGGACGAGGATTGCGAAGTTTACTGTAAGTAGTTGCCCGTTGTCGTGTTTAAATGTCATTCACATGCCGCTTATGCTGGATTACGATGCAGTCCTGAAGCCCGTCAACGAATACAACATCGTGGACAAGATTAAGGAGGCCAACAAGCAGCTATTTGCGATCTACGATGAGGAAGAGGCGGGCGCTGGCCAAGATAATCCCAATAGCAGCAGCCGCAAGGTGACTTTTGCACTCAATCTGGAGGATTACGAGCCGATGACAGCGCAGCAGCAACAGCCGGAGGAGGTAAGCAGTCCGCCGGCCGAGCTGTTGCAACAGTTGGCACAGCTGAAGCTTAGAACCGAGCGTGGCGAGCGCTTTGCGGCCATAGAAGAGGAGCCGGTCCAGGAGCTGGCGAGGGCAGCAATGGAGCAGCAGCAGGCGGAGGCAGAAGTGGAGGAGGATATATGCGAGGAAATCCTGGAGCTCAGCGAAATGGAAAACAGCAGCAGCAAGCAGCCAGAAGCGAGCCAAATCCCGGCCAGCATGGACTACGAGGATGACTTTTTGGGCGTGGATGAAGATGATCTCCAGGCTGCCAGCGAACCGCTAACCGCCGACATCCAGAAGCATCGCATTGCACGCCAGAACACATTCGACTTGAACGCTGAAGAAATGCCTGACTCGGATCAGCGGAGTCTGACCAATCTGCTCACGGAGTCCGACTGCGAGGAGGACGAGCGCGTCGTGAACGAAGCGCGCATCAAATTACGCCAGGCCTACAAGAGTCTATACAAAACGTTGGATGCGAAGGGGCAGGCGCAAATAAATAGATTAACTGGCCAGGACAACGGGGATGTGGAGGATGATGACTTGTCCATCATTGTGGCCAGCTATATACCCGATGACTTCGAGCTGGACGAGCGCAGCATTTACTACAAAAAGGATGATGAGACGGCACAAACGCCCAACAACAACAACACGAGCAGGAGCACGAGCACCAAGACCTTCTTCAATGCCCGACGCTTTAGCTTTAGGCGTCGCGCCAGAGCCACGCCCAGTGCGCCAGTTGCTCCGCCGCCGGACATCAAAATGAATTATAAAATCTGCTGCGAGCATCGAAATGCGCTGCAGGAGAAGCTGCCCCGCTACACCGGCTACATGTCCGAGTACGGGCTGAGCGCGAAGCAGCTGCAGCAACGGGATCAGCAGCTGCGTCGCAAGCAGCGCTTCGCCATGGAGCAGACGCTGAATCGGAACGAGCACGAGCTGAAGAAGCTGCAGGATAACGAGCGTGCATTTACCACCTGGCTGAAGAACAAGATGCGTTATCCCATCAACAAGACGCGCAACATGTTCGATGCGACGAGAAGGCGCGCCACCGTAGCAGCTGCTGCAAGCAGTCCAAATCCTCACCAGCAAAAGCGCCGGGAGCAGCAACACGAGCAGCTGAGATCGGGTCGTCGGCGTGACAGCAACGAGGTGCACACCTATCGCTATCTGCTGGGCAGCTGGAACAAGTAGTCGGAATACATATTAATAAATATACTAGATTTTAAGCTGGCGGGCCTAAGGAGTAAGCAGTTGACTAGCTTTAACTAGTTGAGAATTATTACCAGAGAAAATATAACAAAGCAAGCAAAGCCAATGACTACCTTTTTTGTGTGCTTATACAGACAGTATGTATACAAAAAGGAATTATCTGATAATTAATAAAAAGAGGAGGTTCTTGAAATAGCTACGCAGAAAGCCTGCTCACATTTTGGAACCTAATATCTTTTGCTCTTGGTTATTTTAACCAACATTAAGCTCGAGCCGGCCAGCTTAAAATTTAGTTTACACTACAATTATTCACTTAAAACATTTGTCCATTATTTATACGTATTTTAAATTATTTAATTTGTAATACAACATTCATAAATGATGTAAAGGGAAAAAAGATTGTAGAGGTTTTGGGTGACATAGGTTCAACAGTGAAATACAATGTGGTTTATATACGGGGACACGGTTTTTATATTGTAAGTGTGTGTGTGTGTGTTTGTTTGTTTGTGTGTATGCGTGTCGAGCAATACAATGCCAAAATGTACAGATGTGTGACAGACAAATATTAACCTAAGGTTAAGGTAAATTTTCTGTGTGTGTGTGTGTGTTGTGTTATGTTTGTGTGTGTTCCTGTGCTATTGTTACTACGGTTAGCTGTGTTTTATCCTTAACGCTTCGACTTCTTCGATTTGTGGCCATTGTCTCGACTGTCTTCTCGTGAGCGCTTGCGATCCTTATCCTTGCTGCTGTTTTTGTGTCCCGACGATGAGGAGGAATGATGCTTATCGCGATTATGATACTTATCCTTAGACGATTTCGTTGGGCTTTAAAAAAGACAAGTTGATAATCAATTAATTCAAGCATTTCAAAATAAATTCAAGATTAACAATTAAGGGAAATGTTTGTCAAATTTTGAACAGAATTTCGCATAATTTATGAAGTATATTTTTTTTTTGTTTTTACTAGATATAGAGAATTTAATTGTTAGTAATCTATTTAAATAGTTCAGTCAGTAAAAAGAGAATAGAATTTAAAATACAGTCCGGAATTGATTTTTATAGGCTTTACCAATTGGAGAAGTTTAATTTTTTTCAGTCAGTAAAATCGAATTTTCAATTAATCTTAACAAATGTCGTGCTGCAATTCTTTGACTGATCTCTGATCTCTTCTTATTGACTCTGACTCTTATTTCGAAAAAATTAAGCTGATCTAGAACCAAGTCGATCTTTCGTTTTCATTATAAACACATCTCTCCATAGAGAAAGCCTTCAGGCAAATTTATAGATCGTTCTTTCAGTTCATATTCGATCCCAAGAGGATGCCAAGGAACGTCATTATATGCTGACAAAGTCTCTGTTCTAGTTAATATAAATAATAAATTTGATTACTTCATAAATAAATACCAAAAATTAAATTTCGAACAAATTTCTGATAGTTTGTTAAATATGAGAGTATTTGTTTTGGATGTGTGTGTGTGTGTGAGTGTGTATGGGTGGGTGTGTGTGTGTTTGTGCTGTGATTACGGTAACAAACCTAGATGAGCTGCCATGTTTGGAGCTGGAGGATTTTAAATGTGAAGAAGAGGAGGAATTCGACTTATGCTTTTTACTGTGCGACGATCGCTGCTCCTCACGCTCGCGACGACTGTTTTGTGTGCGTGATGCGGAATAAGTATTAATTAAATAAATAGAGAAGAGAGAGGATACGCTCAGTAGGATTAAGAACTACAAAAATCGTGATCTATATATTACGGGTGCACTCATCTGCACTCTGCATACCTGTGCTTGGAGCTCTTGCTATGCTTCTTTGACTCGAATTTGCCATTGCGCTTATCATCGGTAGCGTAGTCATTGTTGCGATCCTCTTCGGCGGCCTCGCGCTCCAGATCCGACCAGTCCTTGCCAGATTCCTCATCGGAGCCCAACTCTGCAGCGCACAAAAGTGTGAATTAATGAAAATTTTTTTTTTTAACTATTTTGTGTGGCATTACCATCGCTGTCGTCGCTTTCATCCTCGGAGGCCTCCGAGTACTCGGAATCATCTTCATCGGTTTCATCATCCGACTCGGCATCTGTTGGATTATAGGCCTCATCCTCCTCCGACTCGGCTGATTCGTTTTCATCCTCGCTGCCCGATTCGGGATCCAAGAATGTCCAGCCGCCCTGCTCGAAGAAGCCTTCGGGATCATCGGTAATTGTCTTCATAATCTTCTGCCAGTTGAGCGATTGCACGCCCTCCGAATAGCGAATGTCGCAGGAGCTGCAAAAACGGATTTGGGTTCAGAACATGAAAGCAATAGATAAAGAGGCCACTCACTTTAACCACTCCTTGACGTGATCCAACATGTTCATGGGTATGGCATTGACCATGGCCACCTTCTTGTTGTACTCCTTAAACACAAAGATCATGTCAAAGTTGCGCAAATGGAACTGTACGCGCTCAAAGTGAACCAGCTCCACGTCGTCCAGCGTAATAACAAATGGCGGCCACTCGGTTAGATTGACCAACGAGCCGGATGTCGGCTGCAGTGTAACCGTGCTGCGGAACGGCGCTCCGGGGAAACCAAGCTCACGGAAGGGCGTATCGAACTCGACCTGCGCCTTGGTCATGGCCTCGACCTTTTCGCAGAAGCTCTTAAACGCCGTCTTCAGTTTGTGGCGCAGCTCGCGTTCCGCCTGCTCGGCAGCCAAATCGTCGCGATCATGCATATGCTGATGCTTGCCCAGATCTGTGGTTATTTCGCCCACTTCCGTATAGAACTGAACATCCACATGCTTCTTTTTGCCAAACATAATCGCGTATTTGAGATGAAAGTGCAGCAGAATTATCATTTCACCATCGCAGGGCTGAAAGAATGCGCTCTTGATGTTGTTGTAGAGAATGTCCACCTTGTCGCCGCGCACAGAGATGTAGCGGAAGCCATTGGTGTGCGCCTCCAGGCTGCCAGTCATGCGCTTCGTCACAATATTGGGTCGAATGTACAGATCCTTCAGCTTGGGATTGCCCTTGTTTTGCGACAATATGAGCGTATCCTGTTTAACCAAATCCTCCTTTTCACGCTCCTCAGCTTCGCGGGTCTTAAAACGTTTTTGCACCTCTTTAATTAGGCGGAACGCATTGTTCAGATTGGCTGATGGAGCCGCCACCTCGCCGTGTTCCTTAACGTTCGAGCTGCGATAGGTACTGCAAATTGCAAATTAAATATTAATAAACGAGTTATATAAATAAGAGAATTTTCTACTTACACCTCCTTGACAAAGGTTGCCTCCGGCTGTGGATAGAGTCCACCCTCGTTGCGTCCCATTGTGGCGCCCGGATGAAAGAAATTGATGCGCAGATACGTGTACTCGCCCTCCACGGACTGAGATATATTCTTGATGGTGGAAATATGGAAGGGCACCTGTATGCCAAACACTGGCATTATGACCGTCTCATATTTCTTGTCCACATAGAGTTTCAGCTCCTTGACCTCCGGCTCACGCGGTATTTGGCTCATGGACTTGTAGGAGACGGTGTTCTTGCGCACTTTCTCCACCTCCTTGGAGTTGCCCTGCTTGGCGAGACGTTCGCGTGCCCGTTCGTTTAGCTGCTGTGCAAGTTCACGCTGATGCTCCTTGCGCTTCTCCTCCGTGTTGATCTCATTGCGCAGCTTGGACTCGAGCACAGCGTTGCGTTTGCTGCGACCCAATATTTCGGTGCTCTGATCCGTTTTTGTGGGCTTCTTATCGTCCGCATCCTCCTCCTCATCGTCGTCATCTTTAATGAATATGCCGACGTTTTTGATCTTCTTCTTGGATGGCGTCATCACACTGGCCGGACCCTGATCGCCCACCAGCACCGTGTCGCCAATGAATAGGGCATAGGTTTTGCCCTCTTTGTCGGCGGCATCGGGATTGGTTAAATTCGAGATGCCCACATGCAGATTGAAGACCATATTCTTCTTGATAAGCGCCTGGCATTTGGGACCAATGACAATTGAGTTCTCTCGGAATTCCAAGCCCATGGCAAAGCCAAAGCTTTTGGTTAGATTCTCGACCATGCTGGGCTTTTCCTTTTTCACATAGGCCAGCGTTTTATCATACACTTCGCAGAGCTTGGCGTTCGGCACCAGCAACTTGAGTATTTCCTCCTGCACATTTACCAGAAATGTGTAATTCTCCTGCATGGCTTCCGTGGGATTAACCAGAAATGTGCGCGAAATATTGGAGCAGTAGGATTTGTAGCGCGCGCCCAGCGAGCACACAATCACCCCAAAATGCAAATGATTCTTATCAGCAGCTGCCGAGAATTTCAAACTGTATGCGCCGCCGGACTGTATAATGGGCGGATAGGCCATGTCAAGCAATCGTGGATCCAGGCCGCTCGTGTACTTCTTCTCGCCAATAGCTGCCTCGCAGCCATCCGCGAGCTTGGTGTGTTTTACTTTCTGCAACAAAATAAACAAGTTTAAATTAGGTAAAACTTTCTATAGCTAGGGGCTTACCCTATCCGAGTCGATGATGTCCATGATTTCATCCTTCAGATATTTGTTGAATATGTCCATGGAGACCAATGAGGCCTTACGTATATTGTTGATCTCTGCCTCATCCTTGGGGCACATCAGATACGCAATTATGGTGCTGATGTCCACATGCTCAAACTTGGCGGCCGTGAGCATCTTTTTCCAGGCTTCGCTAAACTCGCCCGGGAATGCATCCTTGGTGAAAACGCCCAGGCGTTTGCCCTTCTTTGAGTTTTTTATGGTCGTAATGAGCTTCTCAAAGTTGGCCTGATCCTTATCATTCTGTGGAGAGAGCATGTTTTAAAGAATCTACAGGGGTTTATATATGGCAATACTTACACGATCCCGCACGAGCAGCTTTATTTCTGGTACACCCTCCTCTGTGATGTTCTGCGCCTGCTTGAGGAACTCGATTTTCTTTTTGCTGGTCAGAAAGTAGATGGCATCCGAGGCAAACACCGAAATTGTGTCGGTCAGCTCGTAGCCGAGCAGCCAGAGCTGCAATGCCATGGACTTTGAGTAAATCACATCCTCGTCGACGCCCACCACGCTCATGATGCAGTCCAGATTGCTGAGCGCATCGTCGTGCCCAGTGCTTGGCGCCTGTTGGAAGGAATCACAATAATAAATTATAAAGCCGCAACTCGTGCATTCTAACCTAACTTGCGGCTGGAATTGTTTTTGTTTGTTGCGCTAGATATGACCGGCAATTTCACAATAATTGCAAATTGCAGTTAACACATGATAAGATGCCCAGCAGCTTCAAAACAACGTGGAACCGGAAGCCCTAATAAACACTTTTGAGATTCGTGTGCGCCCGGCAGCCAAAAAGACACAGAGAGAAACTTACCTTCCATTCTGTATAGAGGCGTTTTATTCGACGCACAAATGATTCTTTATCTAGGACAAAGCTCGACATGATGTCAGCTATAACTTAATGCTTTGCAGTAATATTGTCCGCCTTACTTAATAATTTAACACATTTATAGCGCAAATTCCGCCAGACGGACGTTTTGCAAAAAAAAATGCGCGGCGGCTGAAGCGTGTACATTCACATGTTAACGCAATATTATCGATAACAATTCGATTGCTATCGACATGAGCAGTGTTGAATAATGTCATACAGATTAAAGCAATACTGGTTACAAATGAAGGTAAAAGTAAATAAATTATTTTTTTATTAGCTATTCAAATAATTGCTTATCATTATTTGTTTTTTATTTGTATTAATATTGTTTAGGTGCCAACTCCCACTAGTTCCAGGCACTAGCTCCTCTCTAGCTTGAGGGCGCAAATATTAATCAGCTGTTGCGATGCGTTTGCGTTGTTTTTGCAAAAATGAGTGAATTTCTTTCGGAAAATAATGCTTGCGGCCAAAATCTACTCAATATTGTGTCTGTGGGCAATTCCATAATTGCCGAAATACTGCGCCTAAAGGAATACGTGCCCAGTATTTATCGGTAAAAGCCATTTCATAATAAAAACAATAAATACATATAAAACTGTGTTCGCAGACTGGAAACCGCGGCGGACAGGCAAAAATATGGGGAAATTATATTGGACTTTAGCTATTTCAAAGTGGCCGAGGCGCACGAAAAGAAGATTGAGGAGAGCGCAGTGAGTGCAATTGCTTGGGAAACAAAATATTTAATCCTAATTTTATATGTCAACAGGAACTAAGCGACTTGGACTTGGAAACACGCACAAATCACCTGCAGCTGATCACACGCTTCTACCTGGCCTTCCAGAGCGTCCATCACTATGCGACAGATCTGAAACAGTACATCGAGGAGCTGAACACGGGCTACTACATACAACAAACGCTGGAAACAGTGCTGCTGGATGAGGAGGGCAAACAGTTGCTGGTAGGTGCCAGGCCTAAGCCTGAGAAGGCTGCTTTTGCGATGCCTCAGTTGATGGGGTTTTCCATACAAGTCTCCGGTCGAGAGTTTATTTCATTCATTTCCGTTCTTGTTGGCAGTGCGAATCACTCTATTTGTATGGCGTCATTTTGCTCGTCCTGGATTTGCATATACCTGGCGATGTGCGGGAGCGCCTTCTGATTGCCTACTATCGCTACAGTGGGGGCGATGCCACGCCCAGCGGTGATGAGAGCAACATACATGATGTCTGCCTGCTGTTGCGCTCCACGGGCTTTGTGCAGCCGGCGCAGAATCAGGCGCTGCTCGCATCCAACAAACAGCCTGCGCCTGTGCCCAAATATCCGGAGGCGTATTTTGCGCGCTTTCAGTTCGATGCGAACTTCATAGATTTGGTTTTGGGTCGACTGCGCTGCGATGACATCTACAACCAGCTGGCCATCTATCCGCATCCGATGCATCGCACCACAGCGCTGTCCACCCAGGCTGTGATGCTCTACGTATGCCTTTACTTTTCGCCTCAAGTGCTGCACACGCAGGGCGCCCAAATGCGCGAGATTGTGGACAAGTTCTTCAGCGACAACTGGACGCTGTCCATTTACATGGGCATCACTGTAAACTTAATTGATGCCTGGTCGTGCTTCAAGGCCGCCAGCGCAGCTGTGGCCAATGTGGTCACGCCCGCGGCTCTGAAGACCCTTTGCCAGCAGCAGCGGGATCAGATGCTGAAAACGCTACAGAAAACCCAGGAGATAGTGCGCGAGGGCGTCCTCGACGATGCCTTTGTGCTGGAGCATGCCAATCAGATAATTGTGCTGATGCGACAGGCCAATGTCCTGCTGCGCTGGTATTGCCTGCACACCAGCCCCGCCGTCCTCAATATGTCCGGTCAGGCGGCGTCGGTGGCGCAAGTGCATCAAATTTTGCGCACAGAACTGAAGTTTGAGCCGGGCATGTTGTACCATCTGCTGCTCAATTGCGGCCAGCTGGAGCTGACCGTCAGAGAGCTGTTGGGCGAGATCCGAAAGGATCGGGAACAGCGCTGGACCCACAATCGTGACGAGGCAATGCAGTATCTGCGCGAGCTGAGCGAAGCGTTTGCGGGCACACGTCCCCTGACCAAGATCGAAGCGAATTCCCATCTGCAGCAATGGTTTGGTCAGGTTGCGCAACGTTTGCAAAAACTGGAGTTGGCTAAGCCACAAAAGTCGGGGCGACTCATCATACAGGTGATGCAGGCACTGGACGAGGTACAGGAATATCACAATCTGCATGCCAATATGCTGGTCAAACAGCAGCTGCAGGAGACGCGCGATCTGCTGAATCGCATGGCGCAGGTAATGTACAAAAATTATAGGTTCAACTTTTGAAAATCGCATAGAAAGGCGATATTTAAGGGTGAGCCGCAGAGCAAAAGTAAAGGAGATAAATAGACATAACGAAAGCTCTCTCTTCATTAAATGGCCTTTCTATGTGATTCTCATGAATGTTTGCACAATATTTGCCTTATTTTTTACCCATTTTAAACCTTTCTATAACTAAATTCCTAGTTGATCAACCTAAAGGAAGACATTGAGATCCACATCCAGATGATCAGCGACTTTAGCTACGCCTGGCAGCTGTTGCAGCGAGACTTCACACTCATCATGCAGGATCATATCAAGCGCCAGCCACAGGCTGTAATTTGCATACGTGCGGTGTTCCTGAAGCTGGCCAGCACGCTGGAGGTGCCGCTGATGCGTATTAACCAGGCCAAAAGTGAGGATCTGGTCTCTGTGTCCAACTACTACAGCACGGAGCTGGCGAACTTTTTGCGACGCGTGCTGCAAATTGTGCCCGAGACAATGTTCAGCATTCTGGCGAGGATTATACAGCTGCTGACGAATGTCATCAAGGAGTTTCCCACACGCCTCGAAAAGGATAAGCTGCGCGAATTTGCACAGTTCGAGGAGCGCGCCAAGGTGGCCCAATTGACCAATTCCATTGCGGTATTTACCAAGGGCATACTCATGATGAAGAAGACTTTGGTGGGCGTCATCGAGCTGGATCCCAAACAGCTGCTGGAAGATGGCATACGCAAGGAGCTGGTGAATCACTTGGCCAATGCGTACAATCTTGGCCTGATTTTTACGCCAGAGAAGGGCAAGACGTGCGTGCAGCTGCTGCAAGAGAAACTCCAGGCGCTGGCCAAGACCATCGAGGGCTATCGCCGATCCTTCGAGTATATTGAAGACTATTTGCGCGTGCAGGGCCTACGCATATTGCTGGAGGAATCGCAGCGCATCATCAACTACAACGTGGAGAAGGAATGCAATTGCTTTCTGCGCAACAAGGTGCAGGAGTGGCAATCCCGTTTCCAGTCCCAGACCATACCCATACCCAACTTCCAGCCGCTGCAGGGTGACAGCAGCAAGTCCAACAATTTTATAGGACGTCTCGCGCGCGAAATCTTGCGCTGCACGGAACCCAAACAGACCATCTATCTGGACCTGAAGTGCACCTGGTATGACAAACGTGCGCCGCATGCGGAGCTACTCGCCGGCTCCGGCTTCTTCAGCGTGTTGCGCGAGGCCATGGCGCCGGCGGGCATGGTGGGCCTGGAGCGGCTCTATGCGCACATGCTGGCCGATGAACTAAAAAGTAATTTGGACAGGCTGCAAAAGAATCTAAGCTCGGATCGCATGTGGTGCGATGCGTTGAGCAGTCTGACCAAGGAGCTGGAGTCGCGCGATTTTCCCGGCGACCTGGCCAAACAGCCGCTCAAGTATTATCAGGGCTATACGCAGCGCTGGCTGAAGGTGTGGCCCACGCTCCTGGACTGGGTGCTCGCGCTGGGGCACAAGCAGCTGTTGCGCCAGCAAATTGCCAGCGAGCTGAGCTTCAGCAGCAAATGCGATGCCAAGCTGCTGGAGAATACAACGGATACGCTGAATCGGTAGGTGACATGCCCAAAACTAAGCTTAAAGATTAATCAATCCCTCTAACTTACAGCGCCCTTTTGCTGGAGCTCTCCTGCAATACGAAGCTGTGCGATGAACAGGGCGTGGGCATGCTAACCGAGCTGCGGGAGATACTCCAGTATACGGGCAACTACGAGCCGCTGGAGCAGATCTTTGTGACCACCAAAAATACGCACAATATGTCGCTGTTCTTGTTCCTATTCAGCATTGCCCATGTCGGTCGTTTACAGCATTCCATAAACACGGACTCTTTGCTGCCCAAGTCCGCCAAAGATTGCATCGATTGTGTGCCCTTAATTATGGGCCTGCTCACCGTGCTGCAACAGTTCCACAAGAACGTCAAGATGCTCTACATCTCCTACATGTGCCAGTATGTTGTGACCGTGGCCGAGGCGCAGCTACTGTGAGTACTCCTAGCTAATTAAAGGGCTGACCTAAAACTAATCAAGCTTTACTATATATCTATAGCGACAAGGAGCAGCTCGGTCCTGAGGTGGTCACCATGCTGCACTTTCTGCAGGCCTTTGTGCGCATGGCCAACTTGCCGCTTGGCGTCCTGGAGCAGCGCATACCCAATATTATTTTAAGCGAGTTTGACTATTTGGCAACGCCCGTCAAGTGAAAGCGCGTGATTTCAAAGTAAAACTTTGTAGGCTGTAAAAATATGTAATAAATCTCTATATATAAAATTGTTTGTTCTAACTAACTGACGGACTGACAGACTGACTGATTGACTGGCTTATCGACTGACTGATTGGTGATCAACGCTGTCTAGAATTTGCATATATATGTATGGTTGTTTGTGCATACATGTTTGCATATTATATTTGTATACATGTTTGTTTATATGCAAACATACATATATACACATGTACACACATACATATAAATGTACAAACATACATACATATATATGTACATACATACAAACATATATATGTATATACATACAAACTTATATATGTACATACATACATACATATGTACATACATACATTTATATATATATACACACATACATACATATATATATATACATATATATACACACATACATACATATATATACATATATATACACACATACATACATATATATATACATATATATACACACATACAAACATATATATATATATATACATACATACATACATGTATGTACACACATGCATACATATATATGTACTTACATACATACCTACGCACAAAATGACATACATGCATCAATACTTACAAACATACACATACATACATATACATACCAAAAAAAAAAAAAATACCACAAAAAAATACTGCACTACTTGCTAAGCATGGAAAACTGCCGAGCCTACTTGAATTCTTGAGAATCGAGGAGGAGAGCACTTGGCAGCTTTGACTGCGTTTGGTGTTAAAAAACAAATATGCATGCATACATATATACATAAATGGGTGCATACACTTACACACGCCCACACACACACACACACACACACACACAAATATATACAACATACATACATATATAGAAACACACAAATAGACATAGGTCAAAATTTCCCACCACCATAACTCAGTCATATCTCATCCGATTTTCACGAGGTTTGGCTCTTTGTTCATGTGTGCAGATTCTGGGAACTTATTTTTAGTATAATTTATATTTTTAACTTGCCAACTTTGGTTTCAGCTACAAACAGAGTTTAATGACATCGAAACGCAACTCCAAATGCCTCACGCAGCTGCAAAAGGGGATTTCGAATAAAGACAACGACATGATCTATTCCGGAACTTGTCTGTTTATGTGATGACAGTGGGCGCATTGCGTCCGGTGAATTTGGGCAGCTGCGAGATTTCCAATGCAATGTCAATCAGCGGCTTCAGCATGACGCTGGCCTGGCCGAGCACGTTGTCCTTCTCATAGGAGTCGATGTACAAGCTGCAGGCAGAGGGAAATCGATTACATTTTAAATCAAAATAGAATATATATAAAAACGCACCGCACGGTGGCGCCGGAGCTGCCGGTGCCGCTGAGACGCATCACAATGCGGCTGCCATCCTCGAAGACAATGCGCAGTCCTTGCTTGGTGGCCACAGACTTGTCCACGGGATCTGTATAGCTGAAGTTGTCCGCCTGCTTGACTGTATAGCTCTTGCCGCCGCTGGCAAAGCTCTTGCCCACAAAACCAGCCGCTGTTATGGTTTTCTCCATGGTGGCCATCATCTCGTTACAGGGCTCCAGATCGCACTCCTCGTAGTCGTAGCGTGTGAAATAGTTGCGTCCATAGATGGACCAATGCTGCTTCAGTATATCCTCAATGCTTTTGCCCGTGTGCTGCATGACGGAAATCCAGGCCAGCACCGCCCAGATACCATCCTTCTCCCGTATGTGATTGGAGCCGGTGCCGAAGCTCTCCTCGCCGCACAGACACAGCCGCCCGGCATCCATGAGATTGCCAAAGTATTTCCAGCCGGTGGGCACCTCAAACACCTCCTTGCCCAGTTTCTTGCCCACCAAATCCACGGCAGAGGCAGTTGGCATGCTGCGTGCAAAGCCCTGCACGCCATTCTTCTGGAAATAGGGTATGGCGTCCAGATAGTGTGCTATGACCGCCAAGGAGTCGCTGGGCGTCACAAAGAACGCCTTGCTGCCGATGATCATGTTGCGATCGCCGTCACCATCGAAGGCAGCGCCAATATCGTAGTCGCCCTTGGCCACCGTTTCCACCAGATCCTTGGCGTACGTCAGATTCGGATCCGGATGCAGTCCACCAAAGTCCGGCAGCGGTGTCGTGTGCACCACCGACACCTCTGCGGCTCCCAAACGATTCAGGAAAATCTCACGCACATAGGCGCCAGTTACACCATTCATTGAATCGATGCGCATCTTTAGTGGCTTTCCAGTCGACTTGCCGCTAACGAAATCGCGCAGCTTGGCAAAGTCAAAGATCTCCTGCATGAGACGCACATAGTCGGCCACCGAATCAATGACCTCCACCACAAACGGCTTGCCTCCAATATCGAAGCTGCTGACGCCCACCTTGGAGATGTCAATCTGCAGGCCACGCACCAGCTTGTAGCTCTTGATGCCAGTCGTCAGCTGGTGAATGTTGTTGGTAAACGCATCCGGAGCTGGACCACCATTTTCGCAGTTAAACTTGATGCCGAAGTCATTCTCAGGACCGCCAGGATTGTGCGAAGCAGTCAAAACAATGCCACCTAAAATAAGATTTATTTGAGTTTGAGTGCGTTTATCTAGTATATGATTGGAATATGGGGGACTGGGGAAGGTCTTCAATAAGTCGCATAGTCTGGATAGAGGTACATTATACGCAAGCCTAGAGTTCTCGCGGGGATTTCAAATCTCTGGATTTTGTAATTCCCAAGTTCTACGCTTTCACACAGACAAACAGACGGATCGGTTATGAGGTCGGATTTGATTCCACAAAGCTGTTGACGTCTTTTACCCATTTTTAATGGGGTTTTTATATACAAATGTGGACTAACAGCTGAATCAATATTAGAGGAACTAACATATACTCTCCCGACATTGCCTTAACATAATGTACATAGATTAGTTTCTAAACAGAAAGTTATAAAAACTAAATCATAAACAGTTCCAATCAGTTTCCGATTCCATGTCCAATTGGGATTCACGGAATCCGTATTCAGTTTAATGAAAATGTTTACTTTTATCCAAATAGTATTTGCCCACGCGTTGACCTTGAAACCAGCCAAAGACAATCATTAGTATTCGTATTTAAATGTGTTTTTTGTTTTTGCTGAACAAACCTCGATTATCAGTTATTACCTAGGGGATTACAAGCAAGTGTAAATGTTGATTAAATAACGGCACCTACCGAGAGCTTTGTTGTGACGTATCAGGCTGGAGACGGCGGGCGTAGAGAGTATGCCGTTCTGACCCACCAGCAGCTTGGCGACGCCGTTCGCTGCGGCGATGCGGACTATCAGCTCGGCCGCCTCCTTGCAGTAGTAGCGCCCGTCGCCGCCCACAATCAGGGTGGAGCCTGCCAGGGCGGCACCGTTGGCATCCAGCGTGCATTGGACAAAGTTTTCCGTGTAGTTGGGCTGCGTGAACACTTTAACCTGGAAAAATAATTCACAATTGCTGTGTGCCGTGTAACTGTAAATTTCGATTGTAACTGACTTTTTTGCGCAGCCCGCTGGTGCCGGGCTTTTGGCCCTCGTAGGGCGTTGTTTGGACCGTTTCCACGCTCAGAGACATGCTTGGGTATATAGTTTTCCAGCTGCTGGTTAAATTCCGACTGCGTGCGACCTGGCGGCAGCGCTAACAATTTGTGTGTGTTGAGAAGGAAAAAAACGTACTCAGCTGCTGCGTCGCCGCGCTGATAAGCGTACGCATCGGCTGTAGCGACAGCGATAAGCGCTATCATGCTGACTGCGTGCGAATTTTAACGCATAGCTAATCGGCACTTTCCAGGTGAACGATATTGTTTCGTCATACATCCAAACAAAGCGCAAAAACAATTGCAAATGCATTTTTTAAACTTGTTTTAGGCCATTTCACAATGGATTGCCATTGTGAACGCATAGGCGGCAGCGTTGCATGTAGGGTGCCAATGTCATTCAAGGGCATTCTCAGATGCCAGCAGCACATTCCGACCACAGCGTATTATAGAATTTGCTCTTAAATGTTTTAGCTGTAAATATGGCAAATAATTATTGCAACTTAAATATATTAGGAAAAAGTGCATATAGAAGATAAATAAATGCTTAAGAACAGCGCGCGCAAACATAAATTCTTGTTAGTTTGTTATTGTTTGGCAGCCAAACAGCTGTGCGACCAGAGCTGTCGCCATTTCGATGTAATCGTATTATCGATATACCGATGCCTGCGGCATCGACGCGAAATGTACTCGCCCGAAGTTTGACAGCCGACAGTTTACACGTCACGAAGCAGCCACGAGAAAGCAGCCGCCGTTGTCGCTCGCCTGCATTTAGTTTAAACCAAATACTCGCAAATTAATTACCTAAATTTCATGTAAGTTGCTCAAACATAAACTTAGCACCCAGTTTAGTCAGTACACAATGCCAGCTAGTTGCTTTCGTCTCAATTTAAGTAATAAAAGCGTAAACATGTTGCGCCGCTTTCTTTTGACGGCCATCAGCCCTTCCACGTCAACAAAAAAAATCAAAGTGAAACGTTCCAACTCGTTTTTTTGTATCTTGCAGCATGTTCAGAAAAACGTTAGCTCTGTGCGCCCTGTTCGCTGTGCTCAGCGTCTGCGTCTCCGAGGACGAGACACGCGCTCGCCTGTTGGTTTCCAAGCAGATACTTAACAAATATTTGGTCGAGAAGAGCGATCTACTGGTGCGGTACACAATCTTCAATGTGGGCAACGGAGCGGCCACAAATGTCCAGCTGGTCGACAACGGTTTCCATCCCGAGGCCTTTGAGGTTGTGGGTGGCCAGCCTGCGGCCACCGTGGAACGCATTGCTCCGCAGACGAACTTCACCCATGTGCTGGTGGTGCGTCCCAAGGCCTTTGGTTACTTCAATTTCACCGCCGCCGAGGTGTCCTACAAGCCCGTCGAGGAGGCCGAGACGGTAAATTGTTGAGTTTCAAGTGTTTCCACTCATATGCTAATTGGTTTTAAACTGCAGCTCCAATTGGCCATCAGCTCGGAGCCCGGAGAGGGCGGCATTGTCAATCTGAATGAGTACAACAAGCGTTTCTCCTCGCATTGTTTCGATTGGGTGGCCTTTGCCATCATGACGCTGCCTTCCCTGGCCATTCCGCTCATCCTGTGGCACTCGTCGAAGAGCAAATACGAGCGCTACGGCAAAAACAAGAAGCATTAGGCCGCCTTGTATTTTGGAACAACAAATCATAGAGATTTATGCACCCATCCAATGCAATTCCGTATAACATTGTTACTTTAATTTCCAATCGTTCCATGCGTTCATCCAACCACACATTTGTATAGTTTATGATTATGTTGCCGCTCCACTTGGAATTGTAATGGGTGAGGCGAGAGCCAAGTGTAGCGTTAAATCGTTTTAGATTTGATTCGAAGACGCATTTGTAAAATGAGAATTAAAGAAGTCCATTCAAAGTTAAGCTATTTTTCTGTGTCATTAGACTGGTTTTCTAAATAAATTTAAATCAAATTTATATGCTAATTCTTAACAATTACGATAACAAATACTTGCGCCCAAAGATCTCTGATTTCTTCTCAAACATGGGCGACTTGATGGGCGTGTTGATCCTGTAGAAGGCGTTCATGGAATGCTTAATATACGTATCGTACATTTCGTTGAAGAAGTTCTTGATTCCCTCGTCGTTTTTGTTGTCGTGCACAATGATGAAGCGTATCTGTGAGGCGGTGATGAAGGCGGACACGAACCACTGATTGAACCGATCTATGGACTTTAGCTGCATGTTGGCCGTCTTCCATTTGTGCTCATCCACCAGATCCAGCGCGGCATGCGCTATAAACTGATTGAGATGCCTGTGATCCTCCTTCTGCAAAGGGCGGAATCTTTAGTTGGACTAGCGCGTCCCTTTGTGGCGTATGCACTTACGCGCTGTTCTTTGTTAACGGTGCTGAACTCTTTCTCGAATATGGGATTGTCGTTGTGTCCAACTATAACAAAATAGTACGTGGACATTGTGCACTTTAAGTTTCGAAATTAAATAAACAATTTCGGATGGCAGCTAATTTTTTTCACAGCTGATTTACGCGATTGTCCTTATGCATGTGTGGGCACACTGTCAGAACAGCGTTGCCACCTAGTAGGAATGTGAAAGCAAATAAGCTTAAGGCAGGTATGCAGCTCATAGCTAAAATAAGCATATGAGGCAAAAAGTAATATTGTCTATTTTTAGATCTAACAAAGTGAGACGTAATTAAATGAAATATTTATAAAATTAGCAAAATATTAAAAATATATGTTGTTATTTTTGTAAATGATAAGCAGCGTACGAGCCTTAAGAAACGCAAAAGTAATGCGTTTCGCCTTGCTCACATTTACGAAACAAACGTCAACAGCTGAGTGGCAACTACGTAATATAAATATATATATATATACATATATTTAAAATTATAAATCAAATTTGTAGTAAGCACTAAGTCGCCGTTGTTACTCGGATGTGTGTGGCAGCCGTAAAGTGGAGCAGTGCGCTGCTCTAGCGATTACATAATGGCAGCGGCAGCATTGCGACTGAGCGGCATGCTCCAGTTGCAGTTCCAGGCGCAGGCAGCGCATAAAATCGGACTGATGCGCCGCACTTTGAGCACGGAACTGACAACGGCGCTGCGTCCATTTTACTTTGCCGTGCATCCGGATTTGTTTGGCCAGCATCCGGAACAGCGGCAGACCAACGAGAATTCGCTGAAGCTGCTGAGCGCCCATCTGGAGGCGCTCTACCAGCGCAGCTATCCCAACGAGGATGCCAAGGTGCTCAAGTTCTATGTGCGCGAGAGTGCGGACGCCGAGAAGCGTGACTCGTTTCGCTTGGTTCAGATACGCATGGACCGGAGCACGCGAGATCCCAAGCGCTTCATACAAGGTCTGCTCGAGTCATGCAATCTCTCCACGGACTATATAAAGACCGTGAAGCCTACGGCGCAAGCAAAGCCCCAAGATGGTATGGCCAACAAACCAAGCCAGGACTATCACTACAATGCGGAGTTCCACGAGTTTGAGTCACAGTTTCGCAGCGTAATTAATGCCACGATTTCTACATAATTTCCTATACGAATATTAATTCCCTTATGCTCCACAGGAAGCGACCAGCATACGTCCCGTGCTGTCCACATGGCTGGAGGAGAACGCCGCCAAGGCCAGGCAGCGTGCCAAGGACACCGCTGTGCTGGAAGCCGAAATAGACAAGCTCAAGAATGTGCTGGTGCGAGATCTGCAATTGCGTGACGCTCGCTACGAATGCGGCTGGAACATTGAGCATTATCGCGGCTGCCTCAAGTCGCTGCAGCGCCTCACCCAGACCCATGCCGCGGTGCTGGAGACGTTGCGCAATCGCGTCGTGGTGTTTGCACCCTTCACGGGCATCAGCCTAGAGGGACATGTGATGCTCTTCACCGGCGATGTGCAGAACAATTGGATTGATTTTATCAAGAACATTCCACAGCACGATGCCTATCTGAATGTGGTGCCCGTGTATGAGCTGACGCTCTCCCAGGTGCTGCGCGGCATACAGATAGGACGCCGCAAGTTTATGCCCAAGCAGCAGGCGCGCGGCTATGCCAACTACCTCATGAAGGTGACGACATCCCTGAACGATTATCTGAGCAAGCAAAAGTATCCCAAGAGCTGGCCCGAATCGCTGCAGAAGTACACAATTGTTGTCGAATCGGAGGCGGGTCCATTGATGGTCAGTCCAACAGGCCAGTTCATAACGCCGGCCACCTGCCCCGGCAGCATACTGGTGGACTTCATCAGTCAAAATATGCAGCTGGCATGCGAACGCATGTCCAAGTACGAGAAGGACAAACACATCGAACAGCAGCTAATCGAGGAGTCCATTCACAGGCTCAAACTGCAGTCCCTTACCAAGGATGATGCCGTTACGCCCGACAAGATGATAACCGCGCTGAGCGATCTGCGTCTGTGCCAGCCCCAGCATTTCGAGCACATCAAGCTGCATATATCCCATTACTATTCGGTGCTCACCGATGGCATTGTCTGCATACCCTGGGATTTTATGCAAAAGTAGCTAATACTCCTCTCATGTGCCTTACTCTGACAATAAGCATAATAAATTTTAGACATAACTATTTGTTGTCATATGTAAAAATCTCACATTATGCGAAAATTGTCATTTAATATTGTTTATGTCCGCGTTTCTAATTGCATATGTATATAGAGTGTAGTGTACTAGAAATTCGTTGTGAAAATTGTAGCGCATTTAAGTAGGTTTTTTGGATCCCATAAAGAATATGTTTGTATATATATATATGCTCCATTTAGATACGCATTTGAATAAAAGGCGAAGTACTAAAGACAATCTGTGTTTAATATCTGGGAGAGAATCTGCTGTGGCTATAATCAGAAAGGAAGTTCTTTTTTTTTGGATTTTCATTTTGCATTCAGTTGGAAATATGTGGGTAAGATAATTATTTTTGTTCCATCATTTAAGCGTCGCCTCTCTTAGGACACATCGCTGCAATCCTCGATGCTCCAGGCGCACTCCCGGCGATTTGTGGCAAACTCCTGGGCGTTGCGCGTATAAACATGCTTCTCCTCGCCATCCCAGTGCTGGGGATTGCCGCCGCAGAGCACGGAGCGTGTTGTTGCCGCATCGTATATGGCCACACCGCCGCCAGCCAGCTGAACGACATGCCACCAGTCGATGGCAGCGCGACTGTAAACGTTCTTCGTGATGTGCTGCTGGCCAGTTGCGGAGTGATTGCTCGGCTCCAGCAGAATGTAGCGATTGCGCCAATAGGCGCTGTAGAAGGCAAATTGCAGGGTATTGTTGGGGCCGCCGTGACCGCGCTGCACGTAGTAGGCGGCCTTCTTGGGATCGCGTGCATTGGTACAGATCAGATAGGTTTGCGGGCACTCGTAAATGTAGGCATTGCCGTCGGTCATGTTGCGCAGGCACACCTTTTGCGCGGTGTACAGGATGCGCTCATCCTTCGGCAGCTGGGCGTACAACTGCTGGCGCAGCGTGCCATCCACGTCCGGCTCGAAGGCGGGCTGCTCCAGCAGCTGGCGCAGATTGGCCTGCAGCGCTGTGCGAGCAGCCGCATCCAACTGCAGCTCTGGGCGCTTCAGCAACTGCAGATTCGCCAGGGTCAGCTGCGTCAGGCTGGCGCTTAAGTTGCCCCAACGCTGCACCACACTCAGCGTGCTTTCCAGCGCCAGCACCAGATCGAACAGCGCCTCCAGTATATCGCGCAAATAGTCCAGCGTGCTCAGGGTGAGCCGCTGCAGCAGGGCGCTGACCAGCGGAAAATTCGCGCTGTGGCTGGCCGTGTGGAAGGGCGCCGCCAGCAGTTGGGCGCTGCGTCCGACAAACGTTTGATATACGTTCGCCAGCAGCGGCGGCGGCACAGCGGACAGCGCCGTCAGCTGGCCGTGAAATTCCAAAAGCTTGAGCGGATCGTAGATTTGCTTGGTCTGCTGCAGCTCCTGCCACAGTGCCTCGTAGATGGCATGCTTCAGTTCCGGCGTGCGCGCCTGGCTGGCCAGCTGCAGCACGAGGCGTGCGCGCTCCCAATCACCATTCACCTCGGCGCGTATAACGGACTCCAGATCAAGCGGACCCACGGCCGTGCTCAATGGCGCCATTTCTCCGGCCAGCACATCGATGTGCAGCAGCAAGTCCAGTGCCGGCGCGGAGCCGTTCAGGATGGCCAGTAGTTTGCTGTTGTTGTTGCTGCTGGCGCCGCCAAGAGCTAGCCCGAGGAGCAGTACCAGAGAAGCTGCTACCACTGTCATTGTTAACTGGCTGCGAATTGGCAAGGTGTGCTTCTTATAGCTGGCATTTCGGAGCGGTTTCTATTTGTAGTTAAATCGGATATTTGCATTGGAATTTAATTGTTTGTAATTTAATTGCTTGTAATCTGCAAAGTGCAACAACTATAAAATTTATCCCAATTTCAGAAGTAAACAAAGTGGCGCCAGCTGCCGTGAAAAAAGCGTACTATAATTAACGGACAAAGAGAAAACAAAATATGTTATCGATAAGTTTAGTGCACAACTGACGCAACAGATGGCGCTTGTTGCTTAAGCTAACGGCCGTTAGAATTTAAAATATATAATCGTTAGAGTTTTTTATTAGGCCAAATGGCAACGCAATTACTTAGAATTAATATCACAAAAAAACACTTAGGCTAATCGAACTATGACAGAAATGCAAGGCTACAATTGTGTATGAGTCGCTTGGTATATCAATACTTCTGGTTATTATTACAACTTGGTGGAGCTGCGCGATTGTATCGAACGCCGCAATATGCTCGAACGCAGCTCTCCACCCGTGGACGCCTTGAGCGAGGCGCCAGTCTGAGTGCCACGCACAAAGGCATGGGAACGCACCTCCTCGACATCCGTATTGCATTTGTCGTCCTCATCGTCTAGCTGCTTGGCTAGACAGGGGAAATCCCAAATGCTCTGGCCGCGTCCGAATTCCTCACCGTCGGTCAGCGTCTGTGGCAGATCGTGATGCAGTGTCTCCGGCAGTAGAAGCGCCAACAGGCCACCCACAATGCCCAGCAGGCCCAAAATGATGAGCGGCAACGCTGGCGATATATTGGCCAAGTAAACCACAAAGGGCGCAATAATGCTGGCCACATAGCCCATGATGTGTATAAAGGCAACACCCTGGGCGCGCACCACCGTCGGCAATATCTCGGCCGCATACTGCAGTCCAATGTTGTAGCTGATGTTCACAAAGAATCGGCCCATAATGGCCAATGTGGCCGAGTACACGCCCACGGGCACCACGGTGGCCAACAGGCTGAAGATGCCGCTGGCGACCATCGAGCCGCAGGCCAGCCAACGGCGTCCAAAGCGATCCAGAGTGACGGTGAGCAACGTATCCGCCGGCAGCTCCGTGAAACTGGCCACGGTGAAGGTGAAAAAGATGTCCAGACCCAGAGAGCCCACATTACGCACATGGCCATCGAACACAAGCGATATGGCCATCCAGATGACGATGAGCAGCAGCGTAGTGCGACGCAGACGCGGCGACTTGAACAGATCCAGCACCGAATAGCTGGCATTCTGGGCCTGTTCCTGATCCCGCATGCGGCGACAGCTGTCGCCAAAGTTCTGATACGTTTGCTCCGGAACGTGGCGACCATTGCGCCGTTCCAGCTTGCGCAGTATGGCAATGGCCTTGTCCACCTGACCCTGTGAGACCAGCCAGCGCGCCGACTCCGGCACAATCAAGGGCGTCAGCACCACCAGCAGCAACGGTGCCGAGGTAATAATTGTCAACAGTTTCCAATCGGCAACAAAGTACGCAATCCAGGGCAGCAAACAGGCGGCGCCCGTAAAGAACAGAGCTATGGACATGTTGGCCACGAACGTGCGATACTTGGGACCCACATACTCCAGCACTGCAAACAACAATATACTCTATGCAATAATGCTCAAGGTGAGACGCCGCCGGAGACCTTCGCAGACTTACCCAGTATGTACATCATGGTGAAGCAATTGTCGAAGGCGAAGCCGACAAAGAAACGCATCGTGGCAAATTGCCAGAAGTTGGTCACAAAGGCCGTGGCCACGCCCGCCACCAAGCCCATCAGATTGCAACAGATCAGCGCCGGAATGCGGCCAAACCGATCCGCAATCCAGCCAAACAGCAGGCCACCCACAATTGCGCCCAGAAAGAAAATCGACTGGGCATAGGTGGGCAATGCGGCATCATCGCACACCCAATTCTGTTCCGTTGCCACCGTGGCGTAGGGTATTTCCGTGAAATTATATGACCAGCCGTTGCGGCACTTGACACGCGGCCATTTCGGATCCGCCATTATTTTGCCCTGGGCCAGAACTTCCGTATAGTTGACATCGTACATGTAGCAATTGTTGTACTCCCCGTTCACCATGGGTATGGAGAGCGCCAATCTGTTGGTTGGAATAAGCGAAAGGTGCCACAATTCGGTTAAGTCTCGTTTTTCTAGTTGCGAGTGTCAAGAACCCATCAGGGTCGACGCCAGTGCTGGCTATTCAGCCGTTTTCTAGCTAAGCGTGACTGTTTTCAATAGTTGCAGCCGTTAACTGCCGTTTTGGCCATTTTAAAGCTAATTTAGCTTATTTCAAATAAGGTTAACTTATAAACACTTATTTTGAGCTGTTTCCTAAAACCCTTCAAAAATGTTTAAAAAAAATTTGAATAGTCGAAAATTTGATAAAATGGCAAACAAGTTTTTTAGCAAAATGTTTACTTGAAACAGTTGGATAATACAAATTTTAGAAAATCAAATATATATACATTTTTTATATAAGTATTAAATTATTTTAATATTTCTTTTAAGCAAGGTTCATTGGCTGTTAAAAACTAGAGATAAACAGCTAAGAAATACCCCTTCAAGTGTAAAGAAAAACAAGCTAAATTTTTAAAAATAAAGAATAAATAAATAAATATAAATAAAAAAAAATAAAGGAAAATATTTTTCTTGTTAAAGAACCCAATAAAATAAAAAGGTGTCTTAAAACAGGCTAGATTTGCTGCTTAATGCGATCCAGACTTTAAGCAATGCACAAAAGAATATTTGAACTAACACAACAATTACATTGGAGTAAAATTATTATTAAACTAAAATTACTCAAAAAATATGAAACAAATTTTGGCTTCAAAACAACATTTCCAATTGCCTTCAAAAGGAGAAGAAGGCAACTCTTTGCTTTTTTTGTGTCCCAACCTTGTCTTTTAAATTCAAATTCAGCTCTTTGTTTTAGCTTTTTTTTTTAGCTTTGGCTACTTAATCTGCAGGCAACAGTTGACAGCACTGGTCATGAACCTGCCAGGGTCAGCGGAGCGCATTGTCTGCCGCAAAACATGACGCAGCCGAGATCGCCGCCAGAATGCCAGCATAGACAGCATAATTATCTTGTGGTCTTGACAAAATCCGCTGCGCTTGAATCGTGTGTATTTAAGTATCTAAATATATGTCTAAAATTATAGCCAGCATTGATGATTGTCGGATGGGAGGGCGGGCGTCGCTCATATGTCACGGGGTAACTTGTTTAATTGCCAATTTTATGACGGCACAATTATTTGATTTATAGATTTTTACCCTAGCCCAAAAAGGCATCGAAACATTTTGACAGACAACTTGACTGAAGCTAAAGCACGGAGAGCCCATTTTGAATACATTTCACTTAGAAGAGACATTTTAAAGCCAACTAGTTGCCCAAACAGAAGCTAAGCCCAGGCACGAATCGAACCACCACTTTCTCCAAAATAGATGCAAATGAAGTTTTCAAATTTTAGCTAAAAATATTGTCAGTAGAACGGACATTTATAGATACATGTGATAAACTAGCTTTATACATTTTGGCCGGTAGCTGGTTCAAACCCACCAACAGTTTTTTTTCAACTTTGCAAACATTTTCAGTCTAGAAATAGTATTATTACATAACATGTTTAAAATATGTGACAAACCAGATTGACGAATTGAACCTGCAGGCTGGAAACTGGTTCGAACCGACCAAAGATTTTTTTTAAGGCTTGCAGCTCTTTATTCATAAAAAATATCGTGCTCTATTTACTCTTGCTAGGCAAACTTCTAATTTCTATGTGCTTGACAGTTTGACAGTTTTTTTTTAATCAACAATTTAATTAGCACCTTTTTCTATTTCTTATACAAATACTTGAACTGTGCGGAAATTAGAGCGCTACGTTTCCAGAGATTAATTGAATTTGCGTAAGATAGAAATTTCCTCTACCTCTACCGGAGTATTGCGCAGTCGGTTACAGCCCACTTGTTATGCTCAAGCGAGGGTATTTGAGCTTCGGTTTTGGGTTTTTCATTTCAATTGCGCTCACTTTAGGAAAATTTGTGGCTCGCCACATAGCATTAGCTAGTTAGTCAGTCGGTTAGTTAGTCGTTAGTACTTATTTGCAGCTTGTGTTGTTGCCACGATTATTTCACCTGTGCGTCGCAGCTGACGTCGCTGCCGCTGCGCTGCTGCTAATTATGGCCTGGCTAACTGCCACTGCCACTGCCACTGTTTCGAGCTATCTTAGCACCTGCCCGCTCCTTGCCCAGCTGTAAGGTTTTTTTTTGCCTTATTGAGCCGATGTCTGACTGTAAAACCAATCACAGCACAAGGTTACCTCGTCATTCTAAGCCGCAGCACTTAGACGAGTTAATGACTTTGATCAGAACACTCGAATTTGTGTTTTGTTTTTCATTTAGTTTCGATTTGAGTTCGATAATCGTTTTGGTGCTGCCAACAAGTTATTATCGTTTTAGCACAGAACTCATAGAAATCCATATTATTCTAAATGCCGACACGGCCCGAGTGTGTGGCAAGCCCGTTGATTTCAAGGCGTTGTCAAACTCACAATCGAATTCAAGCTGATCGATCAAACAAATTGATTTTGTGAAAGTTTTGCGGAACCGCATAGTTCGCATTCGCACAAAACGCACAATTGCTTCCGCCTGGGCAGCTGAGAATCACGGAGAAAGGCGACGACGGACATTCGCGCTGCTTTCAAAGCAATAACTGAAGCAAAAGAGACAAATGTCGTTCTTAAACCAAGCCAAGCTTTTTAATTTCTTAAACCTAACAACAAAGTTCATAAGCTCATGACTCAATCTATGGCATTTCTTACTTTCATTGAGAGTGCTTAAGGCTTATTTAAGGTATTTGAATGGCTGTAATACGTTTTTTTTCACTCAATCGAAGCTTCTTCTTTTTCGTAACATTCACGATTTATCTACCGAACTCAAGGATGATTCATATGACAATAAGGTTTCATTCGAGAGCGAAATGTACTTAGAATGTGATCAGACTAGAATTTAGAACGTGATTTTTCAATGAATGCTCGAATATATTGCTTCAAATTCTTGTACTTCATAAAAAGCGATAATAAAAGCAGCCTTGCGAGTAAAGTAATCTATTTAAATGTTAAATATACAGGAAACTTCAGAACAGTTTTGGGTCTTAGGTGCTATCTACATATATATTCAAGGTCATTTTTGACTTAATAACTTAATAATTGCATAGAAAAATATATGCTTAACACCTGTTACTTTGTTTAAACTCTAGTATACATTTCCTAGAACTTAAACTTAAGCCGATTGCTTTTAACGGGTTCTACAATATACTTGAGCTACTGTGAATTTAGCCATTAAGTCTGTCGCATATCGCTCGAGTATGTTTAGCATAACAATAAGACATGAATAAAACTAACGAAATCTGCATATAAGGCGCATAAAAACTCATAAAATTATGAACATTTAAATGGATTGCAAAACGGCATTCCAATTAGTTAGTGCTAGAAATGTAGTTACCGATCTCAAATGTCTTAAGTAACTAGCTAGCCAGTTTTATGAAGACCAGCTGCAGCTGAATTACACAGTGAGAAAAACTGCAAGCTTATGTCAAGAATTTTCGTTATCCCTCAATAAGGAATGCTTCAGTCTTAGTTTGAGTAAAATTTGTACAGAGTTCTTGAATGAAGTAAGACTTGATTTAATTTTTTTTAATATAATTAAATAAAGATTTCTCAAGTTCAAGTTAGGCAATAAATTCATGAATTAAGTAAAATTTGGGAAGAATTCGTGACAGGCTCTCAATGTGCTTAGATTAAGTAACAAAGTACTTGAGTCAAGTACAAATTAATTTAATTAATTTCAATAAGACATTTTCAAGCCCGAATTAAGAACCAATTCTCGAATGACTTTCAGACAAATTCTCACTGTGCTTAGCTTTAGTATCAAAACTCTTAAATCAAGCTCAAAAACTAATTTAAAATAATACTTGTACTAAATTTAGCGCTTTTAATGGGCATAATTAGGCTTAATTGAAGTTTTTTTGCACTTAAAATTTGATATTTTGAATAAGAATTTTATATTTGAGCAAGTCTTAAGACCTGTTTTACTTAATTTAAGTACTTCACTTTTAATTTCTTTTCTCTGTGTAATCTTGGCCATAAAACCCAAATTTGCCTTGGCGGGAAAACCCGCTCATGAGTCACGGACACACAAAAAACCATAACACACCCAGCAAAAGAACTCGAGTTGGCTTACCTGGCCTCCACATCGAGTGTATCCAGTTCGGGCACATGGCACCAGTGCTGCTCCGGTATGAGCGTGAGAAAGATTTGTGAGAAATACACGAAGGCCACAAAGAACGAGAATGGGATCATGCAGAGGAACAATATCTTTTGATAGCGACCAAATTCGCCAATTAATGGCAGAAGGTCATCAAAATCGATGGTGGGCGCAATGGGCGTGGCTGGCAGCTCTTTGCCCTTTTTGCCAGACATATCCAATTGGAGCTCCTTATTATTGCCGCCGCTGCGACGACGCGGCAAATTGTCGACAACTCCTCCTCCTACTCCTCCTCCGCCACCGTCGACCGCTCCATGCGGCTTCTCTTCGTGATTATATGCTTCATTGACGAAGTATGCTTGCTTGGCCTGACCTTCCATGCTCGCTGACCTTGCTGAATCTGTGTCACTTGTGTGTGAATTGTAAGCTCAAAAGCTGGCCGGCTGGTTACAAAAGAAATTCACTTGGCTTGTAATCAAAGTGCGCCAGACACAAAATAATCAAAGACACGAACTCGAGAGCTTGCGGCGCACGCGCGCGTTTTCGTTAACGTTCTGCAACTGAACTGAGCACGCGCACCGGATGGCGTTTTTATATCAGACCGCAAACCCGCCAAAAACAAATAACAACAACGACAACAACAACAAAATCCCAAAGCCAAGAGCCGAGCTCGGATCCAAGTCGAGAGCCGCCGGCCGAGAGCTTCGTTAGCGCTGCACTTGTCGTTAAGAACAAGAACTGGCAATGCCGGCAGCGAAAGTTGAACAGCTGTATTTGTGACGAGCCGCCCAGCTGGTAAACCGGTCCGATCCTAAGCGTTATATGATCTTGATCAGCTCGTGGTGATGGTCGCTTCGCTGCCTTTGATAATATACATACATATTTTTAGCCCAAAACGCTCCCCCAGCTGTTCGGCCCGTGAATCACGTTGAAAGCGCGTCCGAATTTGCATAAAAGACCAAAAAGTCACAATCACACGAGCACACCAAAACGTCAGAAGTGCCCATTCATAATGCTCATATAAGATGCGGGGGATTAACCCCTTTTGGCGCAGCTGGCATAGTCGACTGACTCACAGCCTCCTCATCGAAATCCCACCACCCAAAAATAAAGGTTAACTGAAATCAAGATTATTAGCAAGAAAAATAATTGATATATACATTTTTCAGAATTGTGTTGTTCAGATATCGCATACGTTTGCATAATTTGTGGTATCTGGGGCTATCTGGTAACTGATGTTTACCCAACTTATTATGCGTAGCATCCAAAACATGTTTTCTTATTCAGAACATATTCGAAATGAGTTTGTAAGCGTAAAAGATAGCTGTACTTATATAGATATAGATATAGATATAGATATAGATATAGATATAGATATAGATATAGATATAGATATAGATATAGATATAGATATAGATATAGATATAGATATAGATATAGATATAGATATAGATATAGATATAGATATAGATATAGATATAGATATAGATATAGATATAGATATAGATATAGATATAGATATAGATATAGATATAGATATAGATATAGATATAGATATAGATATAGATATAGATATAGATATAGATATAGATATAGATATAGATATAGATATAGATATAGATATATATAGATATAGATATAGATATAGATATAGATATAGATATAGATATAGATATAGATATAGATATAGATATAGATATAGATATAGATATAGATATAGATATAGATATAGATATAGATATAGATATAGATATAGATATAGATATAGATATAGATATAGATATAGATATAGATATAGATATAGATATAGATATAGATATAGATATAGATATAGATATAGATATAGATATAGATATAGATATAGATATAGATATAGATATAGATATAGATATAGATATAGATATAGATATAGATATAGATATAGATATAGATATAGATATAGATATAGATATAGATATAGATATAGATATAGATATAGATATAGATATTGTAATAGGATAAGAGCATCATTGGTAACCCTAGCCAGGGTATTATAGTGTCACTATCTATGTTAATTATAACAGTACGATAAGTAAATATCGATAAAGAAAAGCGGCTGCAGAGAAGAAGTGGAAGGCAGTCTCTCTACAGTACTAGCAGTAAGAAGACGTGTTGTTAAAAATAAAAAGGCAACCCGAACATAAGTTAAATCAACGAAGAAAATCATACTATTACAATATCAGAAGTGGGATTGACTCAGAAAAAAAAAAAAACACAACAAAATGGAAAATATAAATATAAATGACGTGTCAATAGCGACATTGAAAAGTTGGTTGGCATTACTAAATTTGCCAACAGAGGGTACCAAAACTGAGCTGATGGCGAGATTAAATAAGGTACCAGTGGATATCCGAGACGATGCTGCAAAGGAACTTGAAGTTCAACGTAACAAGGAACAGACAATTGAGGCTCAAAATGAGTTGCAAAACATAATGCAACAACAGCGTGACGAAATAGCAAATGGCGCCGAGATGCTGAAATTGATGCGTCTCGAAATTGAAGCGTCTCGAAAATTCCTAGAAGAATTTCAAGTAACGGTGAACCGCAACTCGCACATCGGCGGGAGCGACGGGGGAGAGCAAGAAAGTGAAGTCGGCGATTTATTGCAGCTAGAGGATGGTCACACTGAAGAAAGACCACGGTCGACGGATGGCAACGCTGGTGCAGCTGATTACACTGGAACGGATGGCAACGCTGGTGCAGCTGATCACGCTGGTGCAGCGGGCAACGCTGGGGCAGCTGGAAGGATCGACGAAAGTGGCAACGCTGTCGGAGGCAACTTAAATAATTGCATCCAAACTGGAGCGATGATGTTAGCCAAGGAAATTTTATTAGAATTTACTGGAGAAAGTGAGGTGCGTAAATGGGTAATGCAATTCTTCAATGTGGCCAAGATCTACAGACTAAATGATATGCAACAGCACTTGCTTTGTATAAGCAAATTGAAAGGCGGTGCTTTGAAGTGGTTGCATGCAGACCCTATGCGCATCATTGCTCCGATTGACGAGATGCTAAATCAATTGGTTTTGGCCTTCGGGGGAGGATTTTCGAAGTCGGAACTACGACAGAAGTTCGAGGATCGGGTTTGGAAACCAGATGAGGTGTTCGCCACATATTTTAGCGAAAAAAGCATATTGGCACAGGACATCAACATTGATGTAGAGGAGTTAATGGAGGGTATTATTCGAGGCATACCTTGCGAAAACTTGCGCACTCAAGCTAGTATGCATTGCTTTACCAATCCGGCTCAAATTTTACGTGCGTTTGCAGCTATAAAGTTGCCAATTAAACGGGTACGAAACCATGTAGTGAAACAAACTGCACAGGAAGCACAGGCGGACAAACAACAACGTTGCTACAATTGCAATGTTAAGGGCCATTGGGCCAAAGATTGTTTAAAGCCCAAACGGGAGGCAGGATCTTGCTATGCGTGCGGCTCAAAGGATCATTTAATAGCAGGATGTCCAAATAAAAAGTATGATATGGAAAACAAATATGTAAGATACTTAAGAATTCATTTTAGTAACTCATTTAACAAATCAATAATTGCAGAATGCCTTATAGACTCTGGCAGCCCTATTTCATTTTTAAAGGAAAAGTTTGTGCCATTAAAAGTAAAGCGTATGCCAGATGCAAATTCGTATGTAGGTTTAAATGAAAGTAAATTGAAAAATTTTGGAAAAATTTTATGTTTTATGAAGAAAAAGTTAATAAATGTTTATTTTAATGTTATAATTGTGGCAAATGAGTCTATGAGGTATGACGCTGTGCTTGGTAGAGATTTTATGGATTCTTTTGGTTTAAATATTGATTTAAGAACATTAAAAATTGTGAACGGGCATAAAGTTGATCACCAGAATAATGGTAAAAATGATATCATAGCTACAAGCTACAAAGAAAAACAAAAAAAAGTGGACGATGAAGATATCAAACACGAGCAAAATGAAACTATATTGTTAAATGATAAAATCGTTAATAAGGAAATAGTCAGTAATGAAACTGGTAGTGATGAATTAGTTAGTGAGAAAATTGTTAGTCCGGAAACGCTTGGTGATAAAGTTGGTAGTGATGAGATAGTTAGAAATAAAATAATTAGTGGTGAAATAGTTAGAAATGAAGTGATTGGGATCGAAACTGTTAGTGATGAGATAGTTAGTTATGGAGAGCTTAAGCTCGAACCTGATAGTGAAGAAGTTGTTAGTGATGAAATTATCTATAATCAAACCGGGATTGAAAAAGTGATTATAGAAGATATAGGAAACAGTGCAGTTAAAATTAATAATCATGTTAATGAAGCGCCAGTGAATAGCGAAATCATGGGAGTGTTAGAAGAGAATTTTGAGAAGGATATCTTAACAATAAGTTGGGAAGATTCTAACAAAAGAGAAAATATATATATTTTAAGTGAAGATATTGATTACAGCACAAAGTGTGAATTTGAAAATTTATTTGAAAATACTTATGTAAAAGCGAAAAGGCCAAATCAGCCAAAATTAAGACATGAGTTAAGCATAAGATTAGAAAACGACAAAGTATTTAATTGTACACCTAGGCGGTTATCTTATATGGAAAAAGAAAAGTTGCAAGAATTATTAGACGACTATTTAAAAGATGGAATCATTAGGCCAAGTTGTTCAGAGTATGCATCACCTATAGTACTAGTGAAGAAAAAAACTGGAGACATGAGGTTATGTATTGATTTTAGAAGACTGAACAAAATTATATGTAGAGACAACTACCCGCTACCATTGATCGACGATTTATTAGACAGACTATGCGGAAAAACAGTATTTTCAAAGTTGGATCTAAAAAACGGGTATTTTCATGTTTTTGTTAATGAGCAATCTATTAAATACACTTCATTTGTTACCCCTTTAGGACAATATGAATTTCTTAGGATGCCCATGGGTTTAAAAACTGCGCCACATGTATTTCAAAGATTTGTTAATAACATATTTTGTGATATGATAAAAGATAATAAGGTAATTGTTTACATGGATGATATTATGATAGCAAGTACAAACATAAAGGAACACATGGAGACCTTAAAGGAAGTGTTTATAAGACTGGTGCAAAACAAATTAGAGTTGAAATTAGATAAGTGTGAATTTTTTAAAAGCAGCGTTAAATATTTAGGATTTGTGGTGGATAGTAAAGGCGTTAGGGCTGATGAAAAAGGGTTAGAAGCGGTTAAATCCTTTCCAATACCAAACAAAATTCAGGGAGTACAAAGTTTCCTAGGGTTATGCTCCTACTTCAGGAGGTTCATTTTAAACTTTTCTATATTAGCTAAACCCTTATATGATTTATTGAAAAAAGATAAGAAATTCAAGTTTGGAGAAGAGGAGTTTAAGTGTTTTAATATGTTAAAAGATAAATTGTTAGAGGCGCCAGTACTATCAATATATAATTACAAAGAAGAAATAGAACTACATTGTGATGCCAGCGCAGTGGGATTTGGGGCTGTTTTATTTCAAAAAAAAGAAGATAGGAAATTACACCCGATTTTTTATTTTTCTAAAAGAACAACCGAAGTAGAGTCTAAATATCATAGTTTTGAGTTAGAAACGCTAGCCATCATTTACGCATTACGCAGATTTCGTATATATCTGCAGGGAAAACGATTTAAAATAATGACAGATTGCAACTCTTTAACTTTAACGCTTAACAAAATAGATTTAAATCCGAGAATTGCTAGATGGGCGTTAGAACTACAAAATTACGATTTTGAGTTAGTGCATAGATCGGGCAAGCAAATGCAACATGTGGATGCGTTAAGCAGATGTTATGAGGACATTTTAGTTATTGAATCCAATAGTTTTGAGGACAATTTAGTTATTTGCCAAAGCAAAGATGACAAACTGGTAGATATTAGAAAGATGTTAGAAAAAGAAGAGCACAAGCTATTCGAAATGAGAAATGGGGTCATTTACAGAAAAACAAATGATGGCAGATTAGTTTTTTATGTACCAAAGGATATGGAAGAACATGTACTTTACAAATATCATGATGAGTTGGGACATGCTGGGAGAAATAAGATGATCGATGCCATTGGAAAGAGTTACTGGTTCCCATATATTAAGGAAAAAGCAATAAAGCATATAGGGAATTGTTTAAAATGCATTGCCTTCGCCCCCAAGACGGGTAAGAGTGAAGGACTATTACATAGCATACCGAAAGGAAACAAACCGTGGGAGATGATCCATATAGACCATTATGGACCAATTAATGCAGGAAGGGCTAATAAATATATATTGGCGGTGGTTGACGGATTTTCAAAATTTGTTAGACTATATACAGCAAAGACAACAAGTACGAAAGAAGCGATTAAGGCATTAAAAGATTATTTCAGAGCGTATAGTAGACCTAAGTTCATTGTATCGGACAGAGGGAGTTGTTTTACTGCAAAAGAGTTTGATGAATTTTTAAAAAATGAGGGAGTAACGCATATTAAAATAGCAACGGGTTGTCCGCAAGCAAATGGTCAGGTGGAAAGGTTGAATAGAGACTTGGGTCCGATGATGGCAAAAATGGCGGAGCCAGAAAATGGTTTACATTGGGATGTTATTATAGAAAATGTTGAATATGCAATAAACAACACACAACACAAAAGCATAAAGAAATTTCCAAGCGAAATGTTATTCGGATTACAACAGAAAGGAAAAGTTGTTGATGAATTAAAAGAAAAATTAGAAGAGTTTACACAGGTGAACACGTGTGATAAAAGAAATTTAGAAAATATAAGAAAGAGTGGAGAAATATATCAAAAAGAAGCTCAAATCAGAAATGAAGAGCGGATTAATAAAAAGAAGAAAGTATCAGTAGAATATAAAATAGGTGACTATGTCATGGTAAAAAATTTTGATAGCACACCAGGAGTTTCAAAAAAGTTAATACCAAGATATAAAGGGCCTTATAGTATAGAAAAGATTTTAAAAAATGATAGATACTTGTTAAAGGATGTAGAAGGCTTTCAATTATCTCGCAACCCGTACGTTGGTATCTGGAATAGCCAAAACTTTAAGCATTGGATGCGAAAATAGGCAATAAGCATTAGTTATAAAGATAGATACACATATAAAAGACAGAGATCGGGAGCTCTCTTTGTCAGGATGGCCGAGTTGTAATAGGATAAGAGCATCATTGGTAACCCTAGCCAGGGTATTATAGTGTCACTATCTATGTTAATTATAACAGTACGATAAGTAAATATCGATAAAGAAAAGCGGCTGCAGAGAAGAAGTGGAAGGCAGTCTCTCTACAGTACTAGCAGTAAGAAGACGTGTTGTTAAAAATAAAAAGGCAACCCGAACATAAGTTAAATCAACGAAGAAAATCATACTATTACAATATAGATATAGATATAGATTGGATTACAGAGCATTTGCTAGTCGTGCACTCCCGACTAGCCCACTCTTACTTGTTTTTCGTTCTTATTACAAGTGCGAAAGTTGTTAAACGCAGCCTAAATCCAGTTAAAGCCAGTTCTAGTTAGGCTTTTTTATTTTTATTTTATTTTAATATATTTTATATTTGTTTTTTTTTTAGTTACAATTCGCTAGTTCTACGCGCGATTAATGTTTTAATTAGCACCGTTTGCGGCGCGGCCCAAGGACAATAACATTTTGCTTGCGTCTCGGTCTCGGTCTCAAATGGGTTCATAGCACGCCGCACTTGAATAGAATCGAGTTTGATTTGTGAATTTTGTGCTTGATATCGAGATTGAGATACAAATCACATCGTTTGGCTAATTTGATTTGGTTATGTGCGTTTTGTCTGTGGGCAGGTGTCATTTGATATATTTGCTTTGAACATTTTTAGAAAGTTTATAATACGCTTTTATTTCACCAGATCTCGTAATTATCCGGCTAATTATCGATTAAATATGTGACGGCTAATTCGTGTCCAGGAAAAATGTCAGCAATTAAGCCCCAAAAAACAGCTGTTTTTATATTGAATGTGGAATTTATTTAAGGTTTCCCTTAAATTTATGATTAACCATTTTGCGTTCGTGAGCTTTTAAGTACGCAGCTCCTTGCACATTTTTCTTTTTATTTATTTATAATTATATTTGTTTGATTTATTACAAGCATATTAAATACAAATTAAATATATTTTTTGGGCTGTATCGCATTTTTAGGAAAATTATTATTTATTTTAATTAAATATTTTTTTTAACTAGTAATTAAGTATTATTATAAAATATTTTGCTTCAAAAGGGGTTTTTTGTAGTTTTATTGTTTTAATAATTATCAACAATTATTGATCCCAAAAATTGAAATATTAGCAAGAAATATCAAATATTTGTATTGATAAGAATAAATGTAGATAATTATTAATAATTATTATGGAATATTTATTATTATTATATTATATTAAATATAAGAATTCAATTAGATAATTGTTGAACCCAAGAATTAATATTGTGTAAACGGAATATCAAAATAAATAGTATAAATAAGGATTAGGTTTAATTAATAAATAATTAATTCATTTAATAGCTCAAGCATGAATATAAGTATATCAAATATTTTTTAGTCTCTTAAATTTTTATTTAATCCTTCTAGATTTAAATAATATTAAATCATTCTCAAACTTTTGCCTTTTCATAGAGCATAACGCAGCCGTCTAGAGTTTTGTCTTTCATTTCGCTGTACTTAGATTAATTCAACCTTCAAATGAACAAATAAATATTATTTCAATAAAATCATTTCCGTTTTAATTCTTGGGCTTGCATAGTTGCTTATTATTATTATTATTATTGTTTTTTTTTTATACTACAGCATAATTATAGTTATGTGAGTGTGTGTATATGAGCTATAATGAGTTAACAGCAAAAACGGTTTAATTAAATGTGCATTACATTTAAGTGCTAGGAAGTGAGTGCATCTGAATGTGCGAATGTTCATAATGAATATCATAATGTCTCTATAGTTAATTAATAGAATATTTATTTCAAATGGATCTATGCACAATTTATAATATATGATACTTACAATAATATGCTTAGCATATGGCTTAATTTAATTATTAACAATTTAATTTAATTTAATTAAATTTTCCATTCATGTTCGATTGTGAAATATTCAAGCACTTAGCACTTTGAAAAGATTCAAACATGTCGTCAAATAAATTTTAACATTTTGATAACCAATATTTAATTGTTCGAGTTATTTAACCTGGGTAAAAACCATTAAGCCATATCTCTGATCATTTTTTCTTGACCCAAAGAAAATGATAAGCCTACGAAAAAAAAAACCCTAAAGCGGTTCCGATTAAATTTGCTCCCGAGGAAAATCCCAGGTGTATAGACGTGGCTGATTAGAGAGATAAGGAATTGACCAAGATGCAAGCTTACCCCGTTTAGCTATAAAAGACTTAAGCCTTGGCCAAGAAGCTTCAGTTGAAATCACCATGAAGTTCATTTGTGCATCAGTACTACTACTATCCGCCGTACTCGGCACCAATGCCGTGGACTGGCAGTCCTTGAAATCGCTGGACATTGAGCCCAAAGTGCCCATGATCCGTCGTCATAATGCGCCCGCTGGACGTATTACGAGAGGCGAAACCGCTGCACGCAATCAGTTCCCCTACCAGGCGGGTCTCATGCTCTACACTCCCGACGGTGCTGCCTGGTGCGGAGGTACCCTGATCAGCACCCGACATGTGGTTACCGCCGCTCACTGCACGGACAATCTGACCTCTGGTGTGGATGTCTATCTGGGCGCCTGGGATCGCACCAACGCGAAGGAGGAGGGCCAGCAGATCATCTTTGTGGAGAAGAAGTACGTGATTGTTCATGAGGCGTGGGACAACAAAACCCTCAAGAACGACATTTCCATCATTAAGCTGCCCGTGCCCATTGAATTCAACCAGTTCATTCAGCCCGCCAAGCTGCCCGTCAAGTCCGACAACTACGAAAACTACGCTGGGGAGCAGGCTGTTGCCTCCGGCTGGGGCAAGGTCGCCGACTGTAAGTTCCGAGTGGAACCCTTTTGAAGAACCTCAACTAATCATGGATTCTTTTCGCAGCCGAGAGAGGAGCCACCAACATCTTGCAATATATTTATGTGCCCATCATGAGGAACGCGGGCTGCTCTCCCTGGTTCGTCGGCTCTGTGACCAGCACCAACATCTGCATCAAGACAACCGGCGGCATTTCCACCTGCAACGGTGACTCTGGTGGTCCTTTGGTTCTTGCCGATGGCAGCAACACCTTGATTGGTGCCACCTCCTACGGAATTGCTCTGGGCTGCGAGGTTGGCTGGCCAGGTGTCTTCACCCGCATCACCTCCTATCTGGACTGGATCGAGGAGCACACCGGTGTGGTTAACAAGGGCTTATAAATGTAAAATATTGCCTTAGAAAAGATTGCGGAAGAGCAGTCGAAATATATTGATTCAAAAGCATAAAAATATCTGTTATTTTCTTTGTACATAGTTTCAGCTGAAGGAATGCAAACACAGACGAAGTTGTAAGTCTGAAGTTGGAATCCCAGATCTTGTGCTATATAGATCGGTTTTCAATACACAGGACCGCCTCTGCTCTTCTGGGATCGTCGACTGCTTCCAGGCTTAGGAGTCGACTAGCTCCGCAACTCATTGTCTTGTCATTTATTTCATTGAAGGAAGTCCGAAAAGCCAGTGTGCACATGTCAAAGATACTGTTCCTACAGCATCCAACTGGACAGTATGTGTTCCTTTGGGCCTCAATACCACGTATCTTGATCCATTCCCTCCGCCCCATACTGAACATGGGCTACATTAGTTTCTCTGCAACCTCAATGGTCGCTATCCTCTCCAGCCACTACAACAAGGGATTGCATCTGTCTCTCATTCCCTACGGATCTTCACAGATGTCCTTAGGGTAGGCAACCGAGTGGAAGATGGGGTCATCGGTGTAAAACATAGTCACAGAAAGTCGTCAAGACTAGCAGATCGTGGCATTGCCTTCCAAGTTAAAATTGCCCAAGCAGAGATCAAGTCTCTGTTAAGAACTGGCGGAAATCCTATTGCCTATTATTTGCTTATTACCCTAATTGAGTTTATATGCTCTTGACCCAAACCAATTGATAAACTTATCAAAAAACCTTTAAATTCATGACAAATTCCAGACAAAGACTTGCTACCGATCGAGCAGCACACGCCCTGCTATTATTATCGCCGACTGGAATAATCAATGGATTAGCGCTAGAAATAATAGCAATCAGTTTTTAATCGTAAATCAAAAGTGTTTACGAGCCCGATTAGAGATAAGCGATTGCCCAAGATATATGGTAGACCCGTTTAACATTCCGGCTATAAAAGCGTGTCCACCTGCCCAATTGGCTTCAGTTCTAATCAAAATGAAATTCGTTTGCGCATCGGTGCTGCTCCTGGCCGCCATTCTTGGCGCCCATGCCGTGGATTGGCAATCCCTTAAATCGCTGGAAATTGAGCCCAAGCTGCCCATGATCCGTCGCCATAATGCGCCTGATGGACGTATTACCAGCGGTCAGGATGCTGCTCGCAATCAGTTCCCCTACCAGGCGGGTCTCTTGCTGTACGTGGCCGGAGGCGCTGCCTGGTGCGGTGGAACCTTGATCAGCAACCGTTATGTGGTTACCGCCGCTCACTGCACGGACAGCCTGACCACCGGTGTGGATGTCTATCTGGGCGCCTGGGATCGCACCAACGCGAAGGAGGAGGGCCAGCAGATCATCTTTGTGGAGACTAAGTACGTGACTGTTCATGAGAACTGGGACGCCACCACGCTCAGCAATGATATTTCCGTCATTAAGCTGCCCGAGGCCATTGAATTCAACCAGTTCATTCAGCCCGCCAAGCTGCCCGTCAAGTCCAACACCTACAACACCTACGCCGGCGAACAGGCTATTGCCTCCGGCTGGGGCAAGATCTCCGACTGTAAGTTCCGGCTGGGCACCACAATTGACCATCAGTTAATTATTATTTTGTATTATTATAGCCGCGACGGCCGTCCACGACATTCTGCAGTACATTACTGTGCCCATCATGAGCAACTCCGGCTGCTCTCCCTGGTTCGTCGGTGCTGTGTCCAGCACCAACATCTGCATCAAAACAACCGGCGGCACTTCCACCTGCAACGGTGACTCTGGTGGTCCTTTGGTTCTTGCCGATGGCAGCAACACCCTGATTGGCGCCACTTCCTTTGGTATTGCTCTGGGCTGCGAGGTTGGCTGGCCAGGTGTCTTCACCCGCATCACCTCCTATCTGGACTGGATCGAGGAGCACACTGGCGTGGTTAACAACGGCGTCTAATTGTTGCTTAGCATAAAATAAAAATCCATTAAATGCATTATCCTACTTGGAATTGAAATACGTTCGTCGCAATCTTTGATACTAATTAAAAGAATTCCTAATACGAATTTATTTACGACCTTTTTTTTTTGGCAACAACAACTTAGCCATGTTTGCAGCACTTATCGCTTTGTTGTCGGTATTGAGGTTCGCTTAAGGTTCCTCAGTCTAGGTGCTCTGCAAGGCGGGGTCCTATTTTATGGAAGGAAGCCATCGATGGACGAGTTCCTCTGAGTGCCCGCTCCTGATGCAGTCCTTCAATCCCTGACATCCCATTTTGTGAATTGTGCTTATTTGTTTCTCATCCACCTCACGCTAGCCTCTCCGGCCTCTCCAACAAAGAGTTCGAACTGTCTCCTGCTGAGAAAAATGGAATTCGCTGACGTCTCTATGGTGGACAACCGGATGGAAGCTGAGTCGAACAGGAAATAATACAAGGGAAATAAGCAAAACATAGCTCAGCTTAAAGTAAAAGTTTATTTTGTTGAAGCTACAAGAAATAAAAGTCGTGTTTGGATTTGGAATGTGGCCGTCGGCTGACAGCCTCGGACGTATCCTCGCCGGACAGCGAGTGGTGCACGTCCAGTTCGTCGGGCACATCATCGTCTGGCTGGTGGTCGGTGCGCAGTTTGCGCTTTTGATGCTCCTTGCCGTAGTTCTTGATATACTGATCAAAGAAAATGGCCTCCGTGGTGTCCTGGTGCGAGTGCACGCCCGTCTCATCGCTAATCCAGTCCAGGTACGAGGCAACCTTCGTAAAGGCCGCAGGATAGCCACGATCGCAGCCATAGATGCTGCCAAACGAGGTGACGCCCACCAGGACGCGCTTCTTGGAGTGACGCCGCTGCAGCACCAGCGGCCCGCCAGAGTCGCCATTGCAGGTGGATCGGGCGTTCCGACCGCTCGTACAGATGTTTGTGCCCCGAAAGGACAGCGGAAAATTGCGCTTACAGGTGCGATCGTCGATGATCTGGAGCTGCACATAGCGCAGCACATTGCTGATCGCATGAACGCCCGTGGCATAGCGGCCCCAGCCGGAGGCGATGCCCAGCTTGTTCTTGAAGCTGCGATACTCATAGTGCCGCTTGGGCAACTGTATGGGATGGATGCGTTCTGGAAGAGACAGCGAAATGAGCTGTCCATCGAGCTAGCTGGGCTCGCGACTCACCATTGAAACTGACCGCGTGGGGCAGTCGTACCAGCGCAATGTCATCCTTCAGACGCTTGGGATTCCAGGTGGGATAGATGTGAAAATTGCTGCTGGGCACCATAAGACGCACCTGACCCGACTCCTTGGCGTTCTTGATCTCATTGGCGCCCAGAAAGACCAAGGCGCGTTTGGCCCTATGTTTGGAAATATGAGTTTAGTTTTGAAATTCAATTTGGCCTTTGTTTACGATCTGCCTACATGTCCACGCAATGGGCGGCTGTCAGCACATGCTGATCGGAGATTAGGGAGCCACCGCACCAGTATAGACCCTTGGGACGCTGCAGGAGCATGCCCACCTGATAGGGAAAACAATGTGGATTGCCCACATCGCCGCCAAAGATGCGATCCATGGCCATCGCACCCTCCGGCAGCATGCTGTCCAGCAGTGGCGTCGTCTCCAGGTTCAATACCAATGGCTCAGGCTCTGCGGCGACAGCGTCGGCATCGGCAGCGCTGTCGCTAATGCGGCTCTCGTCGTTGCTGGCGCTCATTTCCGCGTCCAGTTCGGCGGACAGCGAGGTGGCGGTTGGTGTCTGGGACAAGGCCATGCCTAACGGGCCCGGATACATGGACACTAAATACATTGGCTTAACCTGTTGCCAGTCCAGAGCCTCAACATGTAGCAGCGACAGCGACAGCGACAGCGCAGCGACGCAGGCCAGCAGCAGGCTGCGCGCTGTCAATGTGGCAATAATTGAAGCACTTGCCGATTGTAAAAACATTTGTGTTGCTTTTTCTTGCTGCTGCTGCTTGTTGGCACACGCATTTAATTTTTAATTGAAACTTAATTAACACACACACACATACGCACACGCAGGCACACACACACACACACACACTGCTTCCTTCTTTAAGTTAAACTCGTTGCAGCAGCGATCTACGTTTCCCGTTTGGTTTGAAAAGCCGTTACGACTGCCACGGCGGGCGCGTAAATTTCGTCTTCTTGTTGTTGTTGTTGTTTTTGTTGTTGACTTTCGTTGGACTTGGACTCTCGGTGTGTCGGTCAGCGTCTCGCTTACAACTGTGGCGGCGCGCGCATGTTGCAAGCATTTTTATAAACTCTTTTGTTACAACAATTTCTTGTAAGCCCACTTTAATTATTTCGTCTATTTCTGCTGCATTAATTTGACGTCGCTGTCGACAGCGACAGCGACAGCGACAGCGACGTTGCCGCCAATTGCATTAATTTCGATTCGCAATTTGCCTCTTTCATATTTGCATGCGCGCTCTCTTTGCGCTCTTCTCTGCCACCCACTCGCTCTCATCGCTCTCACGCTCTCACTTGATCTTCCCCCTCTCTGTTACGCCTGCGCTCTTGTCACATTTCTTTTCGACCTTTGATTCGCCCAAAATGATGCTGCCCTTTGGCGCCGGTTTTCGTTTAGTGTGTGTGCGTTATTCGCGTAGTGCGTGTGCTAGCAAAATTTTGGATAGCGTTGTCGTCGGTTCGCGGTCCGTTGTTGTTTTTACCATTTAAATTTATAAAGCCAACATAACTGTAACTCTAGTTACTTATCCTCTACTTGCTTTGGTGCTATTACATCACGCGTGTGTATAAGTTTCTGTCTTCGTGTGTGAGTGTGTTCGTGTGAGTGTTTATTGTAGGCTGTGTAATGCGCAGCATGCGGCAAAATGCTTTCATTCAGAAAAAAAACATATGAAGTTGTTGCTATTGTCGACGGCAATGGTAAGTGAAACAAAAAGCATTACACGATACATTTGTCTTTTGCATTGTTTAGCCCCCGCCAGCCGCTGTTACTGTCCCGTTAACCAGTGCATACCGCAAGCACTGATTACATGCATATTACGAGCCAAACAGTGGGCAGTGCACGGTTAATTTAGCTGCAATTCGAATGAACCAGCAAGCCCTACATTTTTGACGCTGTGCTGCACCACTGTGCGGCAACATCTTCTTCTTATTATTTTACTTCTTTTTGCCATTTGCCAAGGTTATTGCCAGGGCACCGTGCAGTCGTAGGCAAATTAACGGCATTGCTGCATTCGTTGCATGCGGCGAGCTGAAGAATTTTCCTAGCAGGAAATCAAAAAATAATACCCACACCCGTGCTCGCCACTTCTCATGCTAACTTGTTGCATGTACATATTTATAATTAAATTAATTCGTTGAAATAACTTTAATTTGGTGTTGAAAGTATTTCTTGGTTTGCTGCCATTGTTTTTGTCGATTTAGGAAATTACTGCGGGGCTCATTTTGCCTGCCTAGCGAAGCAAATAAATCAAATCGTCTCGCGATTGGTGATATGTTCGAATGTAATGAGGCTACAAAAACAATCAACAATCAGCACCAACTCCTGCAGCAACAACAACAACAGCCGCAGCAGCAGCAGCGGTTGGTGGCGTCGATTATGCAAATGTTTGCACCCCTCGTTTTGGTCCGCCTTTTTGCGGCTACCGTTTGTTTGCTGTGCTGTTTACTTACTTTATACTCTTACAGTGGGCAGTCATATCGTTTATGCATGCCATTTGCCACTTAATTACAAATGTGGCGTGTACCATTATACTTATTAACCCTATATTATTATATTATTATTATTATGCTAAAATTCACAAATTCTTGAAACTAAGGAAATGATTTTTTCCTTTAAATACTACAAAAAACATTTGAGAAAATATTCGAAATCTAAAAATTCTTAATTTAAGACAACATTTTAATTGTTGTATAGTAGTCTTTTTGTAAGAGAAAAACGATTTATATACATGAAAATTGTATTTAAAAGGTGTAAGTTATAGGGAAACAAAATAGTTGACTATACGGTGAATTAAATGAGCAGTAAAAAATACTTTAGTTTAACATAAACGTTTCTTAAATGAAAAAAATACAAAACGGAATAATTCTGCATGATCTGATTATTGTTAGTGAAATTGAATTTTACATGATATTCAATAAGAATCTACTGCATAAAAGTGCGTCTCTGATAATTTTGAATCAAAACAATTTCACTTAGAAGTTAACAGTTAACAAAAGTTAGAGCATAGAAGAGTCGATATGTCGTATTAGACATATTTCTTTTCTTGTCTTGTTTCTCTGCTTCGTTTGAATTTCGTGCTGTGCGTCGATATTTAATGCATAATCGCGAATTATGATTATCGGCTCTTGCATGTTGTCTGGACGTATGTAAGTGTGTGTGTGTGTGTGTGCATACATATTTATTAATAATAATAATAAGCCGATTGTTTTATTTTATTGCACTTGCTAATGCATTTGCCGTTATTCAATTTAGCACCACGATCGCACTATTTACCAACTGTTTAGTATTAGTATTAGTTTAATATAAACTGCGTGTTTTTTTTATTTGTATTCAATGCTTTTTATTTATGTATGTAAATGTATTTGTTTTGCTTTTGTGCCAGTGTAAAATGTGAGTATAATTTACGCAGTTCCTAGTTTGCAAATATTGTGAATTTGTGAAATGTGATACATTTACAGTTTTGGTAATATTCTGCGAGACTTGATCAGCATCGCATTCTTCTTCTTGCTTAAAGTAAAGTAAAGTACAAGAGCATAAATAAGTTTTGTGGCACTCGACGCCAAATGATTAAATTATTTTCACGCTCGACGGCCACTTCCTATAACTAGCTTAGATTTAAAATCTTATGTAAGACTTGCTAAATTGGTATCAGTGCAATTCGACGGGCGGGCGACATGTGGTCAACAGCTCCAGCTCCACCTCCAACTCCAACTCCACCTGTCGAATCGTTTTTCAGTCTCGGCCAGCTTGACTCGGGCTGGTGCGGCTATTCGAATGCCGGCGTGTGCCGCACCAGCTGCATGTCATCCATGAATGCGTTGACGGCTGGCTTGAACTCCATGCTGCCGCTGGTGGGCGGCTCCTCGTCGCCATCGAACATGGCGCTGTCGAGACTCTTGTTGAGACGATCATGGAATTCGGTCATTGAGATCTTTTTCAGAGCGAATCTCTTGCCAAAGGTCTTCTTCACCTTCAAGCGTCGCTTCTTGATCAGATTCTTGTTCTTGTTGAGGCCATCGTTGAAGGAGATGGCGCGACGCATTTTGCGCGCACCAAACTTGACCAAACGCACCTGGCTGGTGATGGCGGCGCACTCCTCGCTGTCATCCTCCACGTCGGCTGCATTCTCATCGCTGGGCTCCTCGAATATCGTTTCCAGATTGGCGGGCGTAAACTTCTTCATACGTTTGCTTGTGTAGATTTTCTCGATGCTGCGCAGCATCTGTTCGTTGGTCTGCAGCTCCTTGCGCTTCTTTTTCACCTCGGTGCGCATTATGGCGCTGCATACACGATTGAAATTGTCCTTGGAGGCGCGGGAGGGCATGCGTCGGCGGGCGGCGACGCCGCCGCGACGACCATTGCGATAGCTGCTGCTGCTGCTGTGGGCATCGCTGTCGTCGTTGTCTTCGCCGCGGCTTTGCTGCGAATCTATTTCGTCCGATTGATCGGTGTCAGCACTTTCCGAATCTAGCATTGCATCGGATGCGTTTGTTGTTTCCGTCGCTGTCGCCGTTGTCGCCGCCGCCGCCGCCGCCGCCATTGGTTTCAGATTCCAGGAGAATTTGCTCGCGGCGCTGTGGAATGGGGCAGTGCTGAAAAGTATTTTTTTTTTTTTTTTTTTTTGCTTTTTGTAGTTTTGCTTGCGCTGGTTTTTTCGTCGTTTTCTCTGACTTACCGATTCTCTGTTAACACAACCTCTTTTGGCTGAAAACTTATCTTCGCGAATTTGTGCACAATATTTTCCATTATTCAATTTGTAACATGCTGTTGTGTTTTAAGATATATACAGCTTTTTTATCGCTCTGTTTTGTTATTTACAATTTTTTTTCGTTGTCAAAGAGGAAGAGAACGAAATACCAAGCGCAAATGTTACTTAACATAACAGCCGGAACGCAATACACTTCTGTTAAGCTGAGCTGTTATTAACAGTGCGCTGAGATTCAATTACTTGAACACTATCGATACTTTTTTTTCAATGTGTACATACATTGGTTTCCAACAGATGGCGCTATTTAATGGCGCCATTTAAATTTCAAACCAAATATTGTGCTGAATGTTCCATTCATTAGAAAAGATTTAACTAAAATGTACTCTAGTGCAAAGTGCTTTGTAAAATGCTTTTCTGTTGCACTAATTGAACAACTAAATGAATACTTTTGCATAATAGTTAAAAAACTAAAATGAATATTGCGTATAAAGAAATTAATTAAATAAGTTGGAATTTCCCTTTTAAAATTTAACTTTTACTTGATTGGTTTCGCGATTACTTTTGGTCAGACAATCTTATTCTTTATAGATAGCTTATTGAGTGAGTGGCAAAATATAAGATAAGCTGAAAAAATTGAAATGGGGATTGTGCAATGGTCATTGGCTTATCTTTCCATGTTTATAAGTGTGCCCATATCCGGATATGTTTGTGGTACAAGCGGGTTTCCTATAAAAGACCACTCTTCAATTGAATCCGTATGACTTCATCGTAAAACATGAAAGTATTCATTCTGTTGGCTTTGGCGCTATCCGCCGTCTCTGCGGAGTTCTTGAAACAAGAACATCCCCCAGCTCGACCAAGATCGAGGGACGCATCACCAATGGCTATCCAGCCTACGAGGGCAAGGCACCTTACGCCGTTGGCCTGAGCTTCAATGGCTGGTGGTGCGGTGGTTCCATCATTGCTCACGACTGGGTGCTGACTGCTGCTCACTGCACCAACGGTGCCAGCTCTGTGACAATCTACTACGGTGCCACCTGGCTGTTGGCAGCGGCGAGTTCAGACAGAACCCCAGATGGCCCAATGAGAACGGCAATGACATCGCCCTGATCCACACTCCTCATGTCGATTTCTGGAGCATGGTCAACAAGGTGGAGCTGCCCAGCTACAACGACCGCTACAACATGTACGATGGCTCCTGGGCTGTTGCCTGCGGCTGGGGCATTACCTCCGATGGTGGTTCTCAACCCGACTGGCTCCAGTGCGTCGATCTGCAGATCATCAGCAATGGCCAGTGCTCCCAGAGCTATGGAAGTCTCCCTGATGGCATCCTCTGTGTTTCCACACCCGACGGCAAGTCCACCTGCAGTGGTGATTCTGGCGGCCCATTGGTTCTCCATGACGGTGGCAGACTGGTGGGTGTCACCTCTTTCGGTAGCAGTGCTGGTTGCACATCTGGCGCCCCAGCTGGCTTCACTCGTGTCACCAATCAGCTGGATTGGATTCGCGACAACTCTGGCGTTGCTTACTATTAAACTTTCTAATAAATGATTTAACGAGCAAGAAATTGTGTTTTGATAAGGGTGGAAAAGACGTAGTTTCAATTTAGTTATCACTTCTAAACTTCGAACAACAATATTTTCGTCTTGCTGGAAATCGCTCCTTTAGTAGCGAAACCATATATATATCTTCCAAAGTTTCCGAGCTAGCTGTTATCCCCAATGATCCCCAATGAGCACCCCTGATCAGCGTTTCTTCATGCAGTTGGTGCTGTCAAGCACATATCCGTTGTTTGAAGAGGTTTCTCAATTCATGCAATTGACCATTGGACACAGTCAACGAATAGCAGGGGAGATGGAACATCATGGTGATGAAGTAAGTCCAAGCTGAGTACTCGGTCGAAGCTCCTTGTCTACAATGCAATTATCAAACCGATTTGGACTTACGGCCTTCAGTTGTGGGGTACTGGCAGCCGAAGCAACCTAAGATCAATACAGATACGGAAACTGGCACCATGGTAGATCAGTGGATTGATTTTTATTTGGAACCAATAGAACCAATAAAGGATATTTTATGGAAACCTTCCTTGTCTCCTTTCTGAAGATGGAATTATAGTTTTCTACTTATTTCAAAATACTATAGATATTTTTTTCAAATCATATTCAGCAAATCAAATGATATGCTTAATTTTTAAGGAATCAATAACTATTTGTTTTATGTTAGCTCAAGAATATATAAAAATTACATAATTTGAATTTTGTAACAGTTAACTTTACATGGGCCGACAGCTTGCATTCCTTTCAGCTTTTTATTTAATGCTATTAACATACCCAGAAAACTGCTATTAACATAGCCTGCTAACTGTTTGGCTTGCATTTGCACATAAATTACTTTCCAATAGATGGCGCTTTTAAGTGGCGCCCTATTATATTTCAAACAAAATATGTTTCCGATATTTCCCTTAAGTAGGAATGATTTAACAAAAGTGTGTTTTAATGCAATGTGCTTTGCAAAATGGAATTCTGTTGTATTTATTGTACAACTAAAATTAATTAGATTTTTTGGCTCTGCGAAATAGCCTTGCATATGAATACTCCACACCTAATAGGTAAAATATTCATATTTCGTAAAAATTAATTAAACCAGTTGGACTTTCATTTTAAAATTTAACTTTTACTTGATTGGCTTTCGCGATTTGTTGGCTGGTCAGACAATCTTTTTCTTTATAGATAAGTAGCTTATTGAGTGGGTGCCAAAATATAAGATAAGCTGGAAAGTTGAAATAGATATTTTGCGATGGTCATTGGCTTATCTATTCATTTTTATAAGTGTGGGCATATCCGCGTACGTTTGAGTTACCTATAAAAGCTCTTGCCTCAATTGAATCCAAATGAGTTCATCGTAAAACATGAAAGTATTCATTCTGTTTGCTTTGGCGCTATCCGCCGTCTCTGCGGAGTTCTTGGAACAAGAACATCCCAAGGACTTTCCCAGGTCGACCAAGATCGAGGGACGTATCACCAACGGCTATCCAGCCTACGAGGGCAAGGCGCCCTACACCGTTGGCCTGAGCTTCAATGGTCAATGGTGGTGCGGTGGTTCCATCATTGCTCACGACTGGGTGCTGACTGCTGCTCACTGCACCAACGGTGCCGGCTCTGTAACCATCTACTACGGTGCCACCTGGCGCACCAACGCCCAGTTCACCCACCACGTTGGCAGCGGCGAGTTCAGACAGAACCCCAGATGGCCCAATGAGAACGGCAATGACATCGCCCTGATCCACACTCCTCATGTCGATTTCTGGCACATGGTCAACAAGGTGGAGCTGCCCAGCTTCAACGACCGCTACAACATGTACGATGGCTCCTGGGCTGTTGCCTGCGGCTGGGGTGGTACCTATGATGGTAGCCCACTGCCCGACTGGCTGCAGTGCGTCGATCTGCAGATCATCAGCAACAACCAGTGCTCTCAGACCTATGGCCACCAGCCCGATGGTATTCTGTGCGTTGCCACACCCGACGGCAAGTCCACCTGCCAGGGTGATTCCGGTGGCCCATTGGTTCTCCATGACGGTGGCAGACTGGTGGGTGTTACCTCTTTCGGTAGCAGTGCTGGTTGCCAATCTGGCGCCCCAGCTGGCTTCACTCGTGTCACCAATCAGCTGGATTGGATTCGCGACAACTCTGGCGTTGCTTACTACTAAACTTTCTAATAAATGATACTACCATGAGCAAGAATATGTATTTTGATTAGCTTGTGTTCTAAAGTTCGAGAACCAATTGTGTTGCCTTACTCTCGCCCCTTTAATAGCGAAACCATGTATTTACCAGCTTAGAGCCACAGTTGATACATTTTGGGTGACCCCCATGAGGACTCCGCATGATCTTTTCAAATAGAATCCCCCGAAAAATTGTTTGTGCCTTCAATTTATTTTATTTGCGCGATTTACATTTAGTAGGAGATACCAGTGTTGTCACGAATCCAGTCCAAGTAGCCAGTGACACGGGTGAAGCCAGCAGGTTGGCCGGCAGTGCAGCCCTCCCAATGGCCGAAGGATGTGATGCCGACAATGCGGTTACCTTCGTGTGTGACCAGAGGGCCGCCAGAATCGCCGCTGCAGGTGGACTTGCCGCCGGATGTGTTGATGCAGATGGTGTTGTCAATCACATAGCCACCGCCGTAGACGTTGCGACACTCGTCATTGCTGATGATCTGGACATCCACGCAGTTCAGATAGCCCTGCATGCCACTGTCGTTTGAGTTATATCCCCAGCCGGAGGCAACAGCCGTTGTAGTTGTTGTAGCGGTCGTTGTAGCTGGGCAGCTCAACCTTGTTGACCAAACTCCAGAAGTCCACATGTGGTGTGCGGATCAGGGCAATATCATTGTTCAGCTGATCATTGTAGCCGTGATGACGGATCTGGTCGCCTCCGCTGACCCAGTGCGTGTACTGAGCCTCATGACGGAAACTGGCGCCGTAGTAGATGGTCACGCCAGAACCATCATTGATGCAGTGGCCGGCAGTCAGGACCCAGGTGTTTCCAATGATCGAACCACCGCACCACCAGCCGCCATCGAAGCTCAGGCCCACAATGTAGGGCACCTTGCCCTCGTAGGCTGGGTAGCCATTGGTTATGCGTCCTTCAATGGATGGCTTTGGCATGTCCATAACCTTCAGGGGTTTGTTCATGCCGGTTGGCACAGCGGTGGCTGCGGCAACAGCCAAGGCCAGGAATACGAACAGCTTCATTCTCGAATGTTTACTCTGGGTTTTGCAAATATTATTCCTACTTTTATACACTTCGAGTCTTATCAGAGGGGAATCCAAGTCGCACTACTCTAATCGCGGCTCATAAATTTTATTCGAGTCTAGTCCTTGTCTGGCCGATAAGAAATAGATGTGGGCCTGCCAACTAATAATATTGTTCGCATCATACGATTTTAGTTTAGGTGATTGTGAAATTTATTTGAACTGAATTACCACTATACCCTGTAAAGAGCTTATTTTGATTAAAACCAAAATATTTTAAAATGGGTGGAAAATTATTAAGCCATATCCATAAGGGAGGCCAATTATTTCAGTTACCTTAAGTGTATCGTATGCTTGAAGCATAAAATATGCCAAACTGTAAAGCTTCAACAGAAAGTTGTGTTGATCTGCTGTTGTAAATATTG